TTTTCATAAAAAATAAATTACAATCAACTATCTCTATATATATAATTGGTTCTTACAAAATTCGATTGCTTTCATATATTTTTTAAAAAAAATTATTTCATTTTATGTTACATGAAATGATTAAATATCTTTCAACTTTTGTTATTTATTTTTTTCATTAGTAATGGCGAGGAAGATGACTCTTAAAATTTATCATCTTCATACTAAAACAAAGTTTACGCATTATGTGTGAAGATGACTCTTGATAATTTCTCTATTTAAAACGTTTTATGATATTGAATAGATGCAACATGAATGGCCGAATTCTACAATATATTAGAGATGTAATAAATATTGAAACATTTGTAGGACATGAATATACATTAAACAAAAATATTAAGAAAATATCATATATTGATGAGATGAATTGGTATGTTAATTATGTTTGTTTTATAGAAACTTCAGTTTTATCATACAAACAGTCAAGAATCATTCGCTAATTTGGAGATAATGTATATCATGTAAGTATTCGCATATAGGAAATAAAATATCATCTTAGATTTTTCATCGTTTATGCATATAATTTTGAAATATTCTCTATCTATAAACAATATTGTCAAAATAATAGATATTTGTATGGTGATGTGTGACGTTTCTGCTATGGTTATTTAAGAAAAATGAAAGTCTTAACTCTGTATGTCTTTATTAACTTTTAGAATTGTCAATTTATATATATTTTAAAACTTTTTGTGGATGTTTTTTTTCTTCTATAAGTGATAGTGATTAAATTATCATTGTGTTACTTTACTTGAATATGTCAAATACTCATAACATTATGTTCAAGTATTCAAGAAAATGACAATATTTTCTAAAAATTTGATGAATATGTATTTCATACAAATAAATCACAATAATTTGCCGATGATTTATTATTGTTACTTGTTATTGTATGAATTGTTACTTGTTATTGTATGAATTAATCAAATTATAACTATTTTATGGTTTTAGAGTATAGTGCATGTGGATTGTTAGTGTAGTTATTGAATTAAATAGTGTATGTTAATTGTTTATCCAATATTAATATTACTTTAGGCTTTGATCAATATAAATTCTAACCCATGATTAAAGTTCTAACATAATTTTAATTTGTTTTTCATTTAATAATTATATTGTAAACTTTGAACTAGTGTTAGTGTGTATTATTTATTAATATATGTGAATACGATGTATTTGTTATAAAATAATACAAATTAATATTACTAGATCTGTAGTTTATTGTGGGCGTTTTGGTTTGGGTGGGGGGAAGGAGTTAAAGAGATTCTCCCAATGTTGTTTCTTTGAAGGGATTAGGAGTTGCGAAGAAGATATCTTTGACCACCAAGTGTTAAAAGAAGAATGTTCATGAGGTTTTTACGAAGAAAATATCAGAAGATGGTCTCCTTTCCCTATACTCCAACGATTGGTGCTCGTTTAACGTGGTGATATAGATTATCAAAGAAAATATTTTTTTTGCGATATCCCAAAGCTCGCTGTCTCAAGTATAACAATTAGAGAGATCTTCTACACGTTGTCCTTTGTGACATCTTTTCGGATCCTAAGGCATTTGGGGTGGGAAAATGATGAAGGTGTTTATTTTACATTTAAGAATGTCACCGACAACACTGAGGAAGACACTACAATCTATGTGTATCCGAAAAGATACACATACTACATCAACAATGATGTTCTAGCATCAAAAAAATTCTACCATATCATGGAAGAGAAAGAGCAAGAGGATGGAGAGAGAGCTAAGAATAGAGGTGAAAAGGAAGGAACAAAATGAAGATAAAGAAGAGAAACTAAGGTTGTGCTTAGGACAGATATGTGCTAAGAAGAGAGGAGAAGAGGAAAGATGCATTAGATGAGAAAATATCATGTGTTGGAGATCATGTGTTGTGGAAGATTAACAACGTAAACGTACATCTGTTACGTGATCGAAATACAAATATTTTTTTAGTTTGTTTTTAGGATATGAATTTGAATTGCATTATATAGTGAGAGAGTTTATAAAATATACTAGGTCAGAGCCCGCGGTGATACCGCGGGGGAAAGTATTCGTTTACAATTTTTTTTTATTTGATTATTAATATCGTGTGTGTTGTATTGTGTATATGAAAATGTGTATGTGAAGTGTTGAAATCGATATTGTTATTAATAAAGCCCATTATGGAACCCAACAGCTGATATATTATTTTTGTAGTTGGGCCAATATATAGGAAATTCATAGCCCAGATGTTTATTATTTGTCGGTTCAGCAAAAGGAAAAAAAAAAGATAACGAAAACAAAGAACCTGCAATCTTCTTCTGCAACGAAATCTAAATTTTTAAGAGAACAATCAATTGAGAGATTGCATCTCCGTTTTCTGTCTTCGGAAGCAAAATTAATGCAATTTAAATCGTATAGGTAAGGTAATTTTTTGTTTTTCCGCTATAAGATCTATATAGATTAGTGAAAACTTTAAAAAAAGAAGTAACATCTCAAGAAAATATATGATTAACGTTGGATATATAATTCGATTTTGTATTATTGGAGATTTTGCAAGATTGTACTTGTAAATAAAGTAAGTAAGATTGTTTGGGCGAAAAATTAGATATTTGTGTACAAAAAAAATATTATTAATATCTCAACGATTAATTTTGCATAATCTTAGTTCCATAAACTGTTGAACGCAATTCTCCTTTTTGTTAGGTAATTAATTAAAGCTTTTTTCGTAATTAATGTTTTAGTGTCGAGAAAAAAAATATTATTAAGATCTCAACGATTAACTTTGGATAATCTTATTTCCATAAACTGTTGAACGCAATTTCTCGTTTTTGTTAGGTAATTATTTAATGCTTTTATCGTAATTAATGTTTTAGTGTCGTCAAAAAAATATCATTAAGATCTCAATTAATGTTTATTCGTAATTAATTTTTTAAAGTTTGTAAAGATCCGTTTAGGATGTTTCCGGGTCATTTTCAAATTTTTCTCAATTGTAACCCGACCCAAGTACATTTGTACTTCTCTTTTAATAGTATAGAGATAAAACTATTAAGAAAGAGATATTTCTTGTGAATCTTACCCACGTACGCATTAGTTTGTTTTTTATATTACAATTAATACCACCTGTGCATGTCAGATTATGTCGGGGACATAACAAAAACCATGAAACGTTCCCACAAAAACTAAGAAATTGAACAAAATTTTGATAAAAAAAAGGAAATATATACAAAATAGCCTTTGACTTGAAAAGAATTAAGAAACTAACTATGGGCTACAGGAACATGTCAGAGAGGTAGAGCAAATGACATCTTTAACCTTTATTCACTCTTTCTCTCTCTTTCGCTTATCTCCTTCTCTCCACCATTGTTAAACCTTAAATTTAATCTTCCTCATCATCAACATCACGCTCAACTCCACCACAGCCACCACAATCCTTGTTTTCTCTGACATTGCAACAGATCTCTAGAAAAATTCACTAATTTTTTAGGTTGTTTATAATTCTCAATTTTCCTCCATCTATGTTGATCTCACGCGTTACATGTCTCCTTCCACCGTCGCATATCTCATTCGCTTCCATATTCTCTTACTTCTCTCTGATTTTAATATCCTCCGTAGCCCATCGTCATATGTTCTACAATTACCACACGAATCCTTTGACCCATACATCGTTTTTTTAGATCCAAATCTGTATTGAAAATACAAGTAGTATTTTTGAAAATCATGCTATTAGAAGAAATATCTATATATTTATCAATATCTCATGGTATTCAAAAGAATTACATGTATTTTTACTTAATTACATGTAATTTTCATGTTATTCAACAAAATACATATATTTTTCTTTTAGATACTTGTTATTTTTACTTAAATCGTGCTATTTTTAGAATTGCCATATTCTTTTTTTTTTTCTTTTTTCTTAATTTCCATTACCAGAGGTCTTATCTTTTCCATCATTATCTCCTCTGTAACCACCACCATCGTAAATCTATATTGAGAAATGCAAGTAGTATTTTTTAAAATCATGCTATTAAAACAAATATCTATATACTTATCAACATTTCATGATATTCAAGAGAGTCACATGTATTTTTACTTCAGTACATGTAATTTTCATGTTATTAAACGTAATACATATATTTTTATTTTAGATACGTGTTATGTTTACTTAAACCGTACTATTTTTAAAATTTTCATGCTTTTTTTTCCTTGATCCACCACTAGAGGTCTTATCTTCTTCATCATCACCTCCTATGTAACCACCACCATCGTATCAACCCCAACCACCACCGCCTTTACTAGATTTGTAACTTTCAATTCTTCATTCGCATTTACTACGGCCACCTCCGTATCCACCATCGTTACCTTCATCCGTATCACTTCCATCATCAAATCTATTTTTTCTCTCCGAATCTTCTACCACCACCGCTTCCTCCGAAATCACCATCACCTCCTCCATAACCACATTCATTATGGTGACCAAGACCACCGTACCACTTCTATGACCGGATCTATTTTTTCCTCACTGAATCTCTACCATCACTTACAAACAAATATATCATCTCGTAATAACTATACTTTCAAAAGGTTAATTGCTCTTTTCTCCACCCCTACCCCACCCCAAAAGAGTCATTTACCCAACATTTCTGACACATGGTTAGTTTCTTAATTCTTTTCCAGTCAAAGGCTATTTTCTAATAATACCCAAAAAAAAACTGAAGAGGATATAAAAAATAAATTAAAAGCACAGCATAAAAAAAATTGCATATAAAAAAGAAAAAAATTGAAGAAAATATATAGAAAAAATTATAATAAGTTGCAGAATTAAAAGTGCAGAAATATAAAAGTATGATAAACTGCAGAAATATAAAAGCAAAAAAAATATATAATAAACTGAAATATAATATAAGTTTCATAATTATAGAAATAAACTTAAAATGTCCATAAAGTAAGAAACAAGCTCACAACAACATAATAGAAATAAACTTAAATTTTCATAAAGTAATCTTTCATCCCATTATTGAAAATAAAGTTTCATAAAACCTCGAAATTCGTCACAATCATGCTATAAGCTCTACAAGTTTGTAGACATCATGACACTCTTTGGCAGCAGCGTCCATTGCTTGACAGGAGAGAGCACCGTTCTTGATAGTGGAGGCAAGGTTGCGGTCATGAAGAAGGTTGTGGTGGCCACTTATCCCATCACGAATCCTTATTCCGCGATCCCGATGAAGTGGAGCTGATTCCTCGTATCTACTGCGTTTGCTGCGTAAACCTTTCAAAAGCAATGAAAAACAATTAGACCACAAATGTTTTTAATTATCTTTTTTGTTCATCAGAAATGCTAAAATGATTAAGAACTCTCACCGTAGCGTTTTTGAGGACACGTGTGAGCTTGAGTGGGATCGCTTTTCCTCCTTCCTTTGGCCTCTCAGCACTCTCTAGATCGATCATGAGCACATCTTTCTTCAGCGAGATTGCAAGCGTATGAGTATTTGCTTCACCAGCTCTCGCAAAGCAGCAGATCGCAGCAGTAACCTTTCTTACCCTCCAGCCGTTTTTACGGTTAACCTTACTCAACACACGTTGCCGGCCAGCCCAGTTACGGACCTGCTGGCCGTTACTTGCCACGGTGACCAATAGGTTTTCCGAGCCATTTCATAAGTTAATTTATGATTTGACTTATGTTTAGTCTTATTATTAGGTTTTTAAGTTAAGGCTAGCTAATTAAGTAATATTCGGTTATTATATATGACTATGTGTTAGTTTTTTATCTCTCAAATAGTTGGTTTTTTTCTTATTATTATGTTTTTAAGTTTTGCTAGCTAATTAAGTAAGACTAGATATTGTACCCGCACAATACGCATAAAATATAATGATTTTGAGCATAAAATATAATCATTAAAATTTTAAAAATAAATATTTGAGCATAAATATAATCATTCAAATTTTAAAAGTAAATCTATATAAACACTAAACTTATTTACGAAGCGATATACAACATATATATTGTCGACGATAATGTTTCCTTGACAAATAAATAGTTTGATATATATCACGTGATAACAAATATCTCTTAGGAAATTTGTGGGAAGAAAAAACGGTATCGACGACCATCTAATGATTCTTTATCTCTAAAAGAGTTTCTTTCTTATTCATATTCCATGAAGACATTTCTTTAAAAGTTTTGACATTAATTATCGATTGTTGACCTAATTGTAAATAATTTTTATGATTAAATGTTGATACGAACATAACATCATTCCATATAAAATGCAAATATACCAAGTTTCATGAATATTATTTAGTGTAAAGGTACATCTGTAATATCATGTTGTTAGAACAGGTTTAGTGAGCTTGTTTTACCCATCGAAGCTAAATGCAACGTGTCATAAGAGAATTTTCGACTAAGTCATTAATGTGTCTATCTTATCTTACTTTCCATGATTACATGGCCAAATGGTTAAGCCCAAGTTGAAATCTAATAATTAATAATGTATCTCATGTACTTTTTCTAAGAACCCATTCATTTCACACAAATGAATGAGATCTCAAAGATTTTACCTTAGTCATGTGCATTATTTTTCTAAGTTTTAGAAATTTATTTTCAAACACTTTTAACTACCAATTTTTTCGTCAAATTCTATGATGCACTCATTGCCTCTCGACATCTACTTTATTTTCACCTTGTATTGACTCACATATAATATATATTGAACTGTGAATTGATTTTCAAGACATATCATAACTATTTTCTCCTTAATTACTATCTTCCAATACTCAAATTTTTGGGTTAAAAGCATTTGATTCTATTGATGAAGTATCAAACTTATTTTTCTTTTTGATCATTTTATAAAGTTGTAGTTCTTGTACTTGAGAATATGCTACACAAATTACATATCACTTTTTAATGGCTTACATATCATTTTTTTTATATTTTTTGTTATAGAACTCATGAATAATGTTATCATTGATTTTTTTTTTTAAAGATGGTTGATAAGGTTTTAAAATTTTCAAGATTTTTTTTCTTATAATTTCACAAGATAAAGTGTGACTCATACCATATCTTCGTCTTAAATTATAAATTTAAGTTGAGTTTAGTAATCTTTTATTTTTCTTTAAGTAAATATATAATGATAAATAAAAATGTATAGTATATTATTCCTAGAAACTAATGTTTCACTTTAAATTTTTTTTTTTTTATTATATTTTTACATATAAAATTACACAAATTTAGTTTTATTCTACTTGCATTTGAAATTTACTTCCATTCTAAAACACATTAACATATTTAAAAATTTGAAGTATGATAATTTTTAATTTTTATCATTTAAAAGTTGAATTATATTATAATTACTAATAAGAATTTTATAGTATTATTTTTATATACAATTAAATAACATAGATGACGATTTGTGTTATTGTGCTCTCAACTATGCGAGTTTCTAGATCTCATAGATGACGATTTCCCAAGCCAACAGAAGTAGGTACCGAGTTGTCGAGTGCCCAGAGAAAAAGATAAGGCCATCTAGTAAGCTGTTCCAATCGAGGAAAAGGTAGTTCCAGCAATTCTCGAAGTAAGGCAGGTCCGAATTGAATAAGAGTATTGACAGGCGAAATAGAGGTGATCTCTACTCTCAGGGGCTTGATCCCTTCATCATCAAAGGGTTAACCACTCATCACTGCCGTTTAGGCTGTTTCATCACCGGTTAGCCACCCATCACCAACTGTTAGTCAATCATCACCGGTGGTGGCTGCTTCATCACCGGCAAGGGCCGTCTCTGCATCATTGACGGCAATCGCTTCATCACCGGCAGCAGCTTCCATGTCACCGTCACCAGCATAGTTGATTCTACTATCTTGAAAGAGAGGCAAAACATCATGGACAAAGGTTAGTTTCCTTAGAAGAAGAAAATAAAGAGAGAATATGTTTTATTTTAACTTACATTATCCGAGTCGACATTTCTTTACAAAACCTCTTTGATTGTTGCATCATCTCCCATTCTGTATTCTTTCGATGCAGATTCCAGTTCATCTAAAAAAATCAAAGCAAATTTTTAATCAACTTCTCATATCATTTAAGATTACCCCTAAAAGATCAATGGATTAAGAGAATTACAACCAAAGATAGTACAAACGCAAAGCAGTAAAGACTAATTAATGTTCACCTGCACAAAAATAAGAAATCATTTGCTTCTTCCAAACATATCTGATTATCCTTTTCTAAGAAAACTAACATATGTTTTCTTTCATAAGAGACACTTAATTTTCAAATCAGAAAGTCGTGGGGTTCATTAAGCAAGACTCATCTGTTAACACAATATATGGATAAAAAGGTAAGTACGAGAAATTTCTTTTTAAATGGTTATAAATATATGCCTCTATGAATGATATAGTGTTGAGAAAGTAAAATAAAGATGCTACTTAGATAGGAATATTAAATGCATAATAGGTTTCGTTGTCACATATACATTTGCAATGACTTGCCTATAAAAAAAACATTAAATCAGTTGAGCAATTAAGCAATAGACTTGTGTTGGTAAAAATATGCAAGAGCAATTAACAAATCTGAAGTCAACGTACCTTTGTAAAGACGGTGATATAATAGAGTTGGTGATATAACAGAGATGCTTTTCAGAGTTGGTGTTCATAGCTGCTGAAAATGAAACGTATTTATAGTAGTGTAATAAGATGTGAGAGGCATGCGTGAGTGATCATCAAAAATCTTGTTGAGCAAGTATAAAATCTTAAAAAAATATCACAATTACAGGATAAACTAGAGGATTTAGTATTTAGTTAAAGGAATATGCCATTAATAGGAGCGTTGGTTTAGTAATCAGTTTTAATTTGCTATATTTTTTCGATTGCATGTATAATAGTTGTAGAAAATAAAGACATTATTTCGATTTAATGGTGTTATGTTAGCATTAAATCTTCAAAACTGATTTTCTTATTTATCAAAATCTTACCAACGGATTGAGTGATTAAAAGCGAAATAATTGGTGATTGCTTGTAAATTTCCTTTAAAATTTTTTGGATTTTTTCATCCGATATATTTTCTGATTCAATAATCTCGTAATTATTTGCTAGAGAATCTTACCAAATATAAATCCAAAATATCGACAATCAAGGGAAGATCCGTCGACAATCAAGGGAAGATCCGGTTGATTAAATTTCGGTGCAAAATATAAATATAGATAGTCGATTGTTTTTATTACAAACTTCCTTAAATCTCTTATCTAGAATCTGAACAGTTTAAAACCGGTTCATAACCCGACCCATTTGAATTAAAAACCAAAATCTCCTCCAAAATGTATATGTAGATACTTACTCAAAATTTGTTATTCTCTTTTTTATGCCCAAGTAGGTATATCATCTAGACACATGGCCAGAAATCTCCTTAAATGTTAAACTAATCCAATAAAGAGTTAAAGAATATGGTCTCCGCAAAAAAGTAGACCTGTTTTAACTTGTGTGAGATTAGCTCATGTTTTCAGTTATTTTGTTTGATGAATGTGATAGGGTAGTTAAAAAAAAATTTGGGTATCTAATCTCACCTGAAGCATTTGATGTCAGAGAAAAACAATATTTGATACTTGCTATAAGAAGTATTTTCATGAACCTGGAAATTTCATAAATAAATAAAAAACTACATGACGTCTCGCTCTTTATCGTTATGTTATCTAATTAGTCAGGTTCTTTATATTTTCATAAACATTTCATCATTCTCACATAAAATTTTTCTTCAACACTAAATTGCTCACTTTATTATAATCTCAAGAAACTTCCCCAACAAGAATCCTTTTCGGCAGAAATAAAAAAAAATAATCGCTTACCACACTCTCAGAATTATGACGGCACCTCCCGGAACAAAAATAAAATACAGTCTTGTAAATCCCTGGTAATAAATAAAACCAAGATTTATACGTTAGACCGTAAAATGCTAAGTAAACTGAATTGTAAATAATAGGACTCTATTTGTAGAGCCAACCTCCTTTAAAGTCTATGGGTTAAGAATTGACAATCGACTTGAATATAACTCCACGAAGACGACCTAAAATTATAAGCCACGTATTATGAGCTGGATAAAAACATGAGATAGAATCACAGTTCAATCTTTAATGAATTGTTTGGAGAAAAACATGTGGTTTCAAGGAGCTGATTACAGCTTCTTCTTCTCAACATGATTCCTACAAAAAAATGCGATAATGAAAACATGCTAATATATTATAGTCCAATCAAGAAAATACATGGATTGACATGTTTGGACCCGATACATAATCAAGTAAAAGGATTTACATGTTTGAATTCTTATATCATGATCGAACCAAATCAAACATATATAAAATTATATCAATATAAAATCTAAAACTAGAGACTAAAACACAGATCGTAAACTCACACAAATAATCAAAAAATTCAAACAAAACATACGAAAGTAAACTCGGTCTCTAGTTTCGTACCTCAAACGACTGAAATAGCGAGATTTGACAGTTTTTTGTAATTCATCTAACTACACCAAAAAAAAATTACAGAATCACTTTTCTCTCAATTTATTCATTACATATAACCAACAATCAGGTTGAGTTATGAAGAAAGAAAGAAACATGTCATTTGGTGGTTCAAATACTGCGTGAAGATCTCTGTAAAGTTTTTCATTGATCCATGTCACTCTATCCTACATATAAGTTGAAGATAACACATATTGTGAGATTTCAGATCTAAAAGTTGATTAATCAGAATCAGTATTCCAAATCAGAGCTGTTATCCTAAATCCAAAGCAACGGGAATCGAATGCATCACGATTCTTAATCGACAAATACAAAACCCAGCAAAAGAACAATTTGAAGACGAGAGGCGAGAGAGAAAAAGAGGCGATGTAGAGAAAGAAATAAAAGAAATGGTCTTTGTAGGGATTCACGTTTTTTTATTCGGGTCGAATTTTGGCCCGAACAGGTTTTGTTTACGGATCTGCGTGCTTTTAATATGGGTCGGACCTTGGGTCGACTTTAAAAGACCAAGCAAATTGGCGATTTTACCCTTTTTAATTTTTTTGTAAACGTCAAAACAAAAAGATAAGCCGTATTTTGAAAAAACGGCTCAAACGACTTGACAAAATGCTACCCCTCATTCTCTATTAATAGTATAGATTTTATTTATTGTCGAATACAAAACTATTATTGATCTATAGTTTTTTAGTTACCAAAATATAGTTACCAAAATATAACAATGGATATTTAGCAGCATTATACAAATATGAATGATCTTGCGAAATTTAATTACTATACTTTGTCAGAAAAAAAAAACCTTCTTCTCCATCTATATGAGTTTAAGAAGAAAATGACTAAAATACCTATACTTTGATTTTATCATATTTTTAAAATCTTAATCTTAGCTTTATTAATTAAATTATTGATCTAAAATATATTTCTAACTAAATAATTTTCAAATTATTATCTGAACATATATAAATTAATTTTACAGTTTTGGCGGAAAAAACATTTTGTGGGTTTAGCGGGAAAACATGATTTTGCAGTTTTGGTAGAAAAACATGATTTTGTGGTCTTGGCGGAAAAATATGATATGCGATTTTGGCGGGGAAAACATTTGACGGAAAAATATGATTTTATTGTTTTGAATAGAAATTATGATTTTGACAGAAAAATTCAATTTTGTGGTTTTGTCAGGAAAAATGATTTTCCGGTTTTTGCTTGAAAATATGATTTTGGCGATTTTGGAAGAAAAATATGATTTGATGAGAAAATATGATTTTGCCGTTTTGGCGGAAAACATGATTTGGTGGAAAAATTATGTTCCACAATTCTACAATTTTGGTAGAAAACAGCAATTCCACAATTTTCCATTAAAAATTGGGATTTCACTTTTTAGCCGGAAAAAAACGCAATTCCTCAATTTTATGATTTTGTCGAAAAATGATAGTCCATGATTTCACGATTTTTAGAGATTCTTTTGGTGCAAATACGTGATTTAAAAAATATAAAATGAGAAATATATAGAAAATTAACATTATTTGAGATGTGATTGTAAATGAAGGTATATTTAACATTTGTTATTTTTGACAGAACCCTCTCCATCCAAATGCTCCAATCTGGTTCATACATATGAGTTTTCATTCAGATGATCCATGTTGCTCATTTTGGCACTAAACGAACATCATTTCTCATTTTCATCCCTATGAACAATTTAAATGAGCAAACGAACATGATATATGATGTTCACGTTGTTGGTTTTCCAATCACACTTCATAATCGTCAAAGGAAAGTTGGCGGATGTTGGTAGGACGGGTAGTGGTAAGACGGGTGGTGATAGTCCATTCGATAAATATTTTTTCTTCTTTGCCATGGCTGCATCAACAAAAATTTGAACACCCAAGGTTCTAGAAGAATAACATGAAAATAACATTTATAGGATGCCCATAAGTTTTTTCTTTTCGCTTTCGTCAAATGGAAGGAATAAGTAACGACCATAAAGAGAAATTTTCACATGATGTATTTCAAAATATCATTATGAACATAACCTAATAAGTATTATGTATATTCTATATTTTCATCCTCCAACGCGCATTTCGAACACTTAACAATATACTACATTAAATATCTCCAACCATTCAGAACGTACATAACCTAGCTACTTCTCATTAAATATACTCAACCAACAAAAATGTGATTTATTTGATTGAAGAAAAAAATGTATGAGTTACCTAGAAAGTATTGAAATAAATTTATTCAAACGAAATATGTAAGTAAAATATGAATGTATAAATAAATTAATGTAATGCATGACCAACAAAAATTGGTATATATAAATAATGAATTGGAACTTGTGTACGACAATAAATTTGATTTTCATACGCCTAATACTTCATGCTTTTGATTATCTCATGTCGCATATCTCTTTTCCATAACCAATTAGAATTATTTGTGAACCGAGAAGGCTTAGAACTCCTCGGTAATCAATTACACATAAAAATATTAAATGATGAATTTCGTTATAATGCAGAAAGATATTTTTTAATCCCGTTATAACTAGTATTCGATATCAGATAAGTACTTGTATGTTGGAAACAAAATCTCACGTTATAATTTTCTCTGTTTATGAGTTAGAAATATTCTCTATATCTAAACAATTTCATCAGAAATAGATATATGCGAATACCAATAACATTATGATTAAATATTCAAGAAAACGTAATATTTTTTAAGAATTTGGTAAAACGTTTCTTAAACAAATAAAATTACAATCAGCTATCTCTACATATGTTATTGGTTCTTATAAAAATTTGATTGTTTTTTCTTAAAATTCTTTTATTTTATGTAACATGAAATGGTTAAAAAAATTTCAACTTTTTTTTTTCTTTTTTTCATTAGTAATAACAAGGAAGTTTTTTTGGACCAAAATATGTATCATCTTGCTTGATGCTTTCTCGAACCTATATATACATATTCGAAGTACATTTTTGAAAAAAACTCTTGGCTTTCAAACTTATTTACAATGGTATGTCATTCCTTTCAATGTTAAAACTATCTTATTCTCGAAATATTTTTTAAATCGTGGCAATAATTTTTTTTTTTTTTTTGTCAAACAAAACTTTCATTCACTTAGGATCTCAAGAGATGGAAGTCTATACAAACTAAAGCTAAGATAATACAATTGGAATAAAGATACAAGCTCCATGAGTTTTCCAAAGGGAAGCCCACCTTTAAAAAGTTTGCAATGTTTGAAAAATCTGTCGAGGCTATAGAGGATTCGACCATGAAAACGGGCTTCGCGAAATCCTCGACCAACGGGTGGTCATAGACGGATCGCTCGATTAACACATACGAGCTTTTTGAAAAGTGCTCCACGGAGGAGGCTGCTGGATATAGAAGGTTGAAGAAGCTTTGGTAACCACTTATCCATGGATCATAATGCCGTTCTTCTTCACTCTTTTGGTTTTATGAATATTCTCCCTAGATGATTCTAAAGGCAGAGCTCTCAAGTAACAATTGTACCAACAAAGCAACAATGGTCGACTATGTTCTAATTGTTATCCTTGAACAACTGGTTCCATGAATCGACACCAATACTTGCTAAAAATGGACAAAGAAGAGTTTTGATTAGACCTGGGCTTTTGCAGAAACACTTTATTGGGCCAAACACCTGAAAGTGCCAAGAGGGAAGACATAATGGGCCGTAAAGGGAAAAGCCCAGAACCGAAATCCCTAGTTTTTTGACAGGGGCGATGAGGCGTTGTGTGTGGCGGCTGGGCGACGGCGAGCAGATGATCGGAGTTGAAAGAGACATCGCCAGAGGTTGTGGCACCGGAGAAGACAAAGGCGACGAACTGCGGTACCAATTGGAGAGAGTGACGGGAACCAAGACGGAAAGGGATTGATGGATTAGGGTTAACCCTTCCGCCGCCATCTTCATCTTCGGTTCGAGCGTTGCTAAATTCCAGTGAGATCGGTGGTCGACGAGGCTCGCGATCCAACAAGACTCCATGGATCTAGACGCAGGTGAAATATTAAGCCCGAATTCAAGCATTTTTGCAATTTTGGCTTTGAGGGATCTCGCCAATAAGAAAGCGGGGTAAGTTTCATCGCAAGCATCTAGCAGATTAGATGACCAGCTGGGAGATAGGGTTCTGGAAAGCTTGATAAAATGATCTCCGACCACCATAAACCAAAGCAAAGGAAAAGTGATGTGGTGGTCGGAAAGGTTACAAAAGTTTGCGAAAAGCGTAACAGACACAAGAGAATGAGGGATGATTAGATTCATCCCGACACCGGCGAGCAAAGGCTCCACCGGCATCGGAAAACAGGTTCATGCGGCTGTCCTCGATTATTGCGCCTGAGAGGTTTTTGATTTAATTGTGGCATTTAATTAACTTTGTAGATTTTCGACTTTGTTACGATCTAATTTGTTACTATATTCTCGATTTTGTGATAGAGCTCTAACAAATCACAAATAATTACTATCAAATATTATTCTTTCCTTACCAACATTCCGATTTTGTTATGATATTATACGATATGGATACAATTTAATGTAAACCAAATCGTTTTTTCTCGATTTTGTGATAAAGATCTAACAAATCACAAATAATTACTATAAAATATTGTTCTTTCCTTACCAACATTCCGATTTTGTTATGATATTATACGATATGGATACAATTTAATGTAAACCAAATCGTTTTTCCTATAATTTTGATGTATAATATTTATAAAATCTTAACTATTCCAACAAATCTTCTAAGATATAATGAATATTATTAAACAATATCAACAAAAATATATGCAATACCATTTTCAATATATCTTAGAAACCATATATTCGATAATTAAAAAATATTTCTAAATAGGATTGTTTACTGTTTTCTGAAGTCACATTTGTAAACTCTTTCCCTCCGGATTGAGTAACCAATCGTGGATATATCTTTTAATTAATGTGTGGTTGATAAAATATATATGCATTTCCAAATATTTTCAATTAACCTTGATTTACAATATTTTTTCAAAATATTTCAAAATATTTGACAGCTAATCCTAACAATCTCTACAATATTTCTCTATATAGGAGATTTATTAACGTCGGAATTCATCACCCAAAGTTCTCTTTGTAATAGTTAATTATTTTTCTTTCTTAGTATAAAATATCACATTTCTTTAGCAGTTAAGTATTTATATGTGAAGTGATGATAATGTTTTATATCGCAGTTAAGTATTTATACGTAAAGTGATGATAATGTTTTATATGAATCTCTATTATTGCTAAACCACAAGAATCATTTTCATGTTAATACAAAACATCGTTTATATATAAATAATCATTTTCTACCATCTTTTTATTTTCTTAGTGATAACTTTTAATGCATGCTTTACCATCATAAACGTGATTTTACTGATAAAATCGATTGATTTGTTGTACGATTATATTTATTGATATTTTGCATTGTTTTTAATATATTATTATTGCTATCACTTTACAAATATGATACAAACAGTGTTAATATCGATATTTGTTTCCGTCGAGAAATTCAAATTTTAGATTGAGAAGTTTTAATTCAGTTTTATTTGTTGAACAATTATATTCTTATCAATTTTTTTTTTCCTAATATATTATCATTTATCAGTGATACCACTTTCCATATATTGTATAAACATTGTTCAGGTTAAATGGTCAATTTTTATTTTTGTGATTAAAGTCAAAATTTACATTGTGCGAGTTTTAATTAATTTTATTTACTAATATTTTGTATCATTTAGTTTATGGTTTAATTTCCTTAGTTCGCCCAATCAAAAAAAAAAGATGGAATAAATTTGAAAATTGCACTACTACTTAAAATTAAGAAAACATATATTAAATTAATATATTATAAAAAAGTTATGCGGGTTGGTAAAATTAAAGTTTTGTGGGTTGGTAAAATTATAATATGTCTTATTTACTCATCATAACAATATTAAAATCACTACTTGAAATATATAACATATAAAACACACAAAAATACTAATATATTGTCATATTTGCATTGTTATTATGTGAGATATTTTAATATTAATCATTGAAAATGGGAAGAACATCATTTCCCATGCTTATACATATATATATATATATATATATATATATATATGTATATATTCATTGTGTATATACATTTTGTATATATACATATATATATATATATATGTATATATTCCCCAAAATGTTGTTTTATTGGATTATGATTGACAATTTGATTTACAAGGGAGATTAGAGGATTTACAAGGTTTTTTAAAATATTTATTAAATCTTTTAAATATCTTTGAAAATCCTCAAAAACTCCTTGTAAATCCTTTATAAACCTTTATCAAATTCTTTAAAACTCTTTGTAAATTCTTTTAAGACATTTAAAACCCCCTGAAAAATGTTTTAATATTTTTGTAAATCCAATACCCGTATAAAAATTTGGGATATCTTTTTTTGGCAAAAAAAGTTTTGGCGAGAAAATTTACTTTTTCATTTTCATGATTTAAATATTTTCAAATAAGGATAAAATAATTATTAAAAATTAAAAGAGGACAAAAATAAAAATAATCAAAAAATAGTATTTTTAAATGAGAAAAATGTCATTTAAATCATTAGTTTACCATTTTCGTTGGTTTAAATCATCATTTAAATCATTAGCCAATTGAGGCACATTGCTAAATGGCTAAACGGATCAATAAGACGATGTCATCGCATAACTGGCATTTCGAAGCCATCAAATAATTTTTCTTCTACACCAACATGGTTTCCATCTTTCTCTTCGTCTGATTGCTCCATTTAGCCAGTTAACGATGTGCCTCAATCGGCTTAGTCAACAAGAATTCGTGATTAAATTGAAAGTCAACATAAAATTGAGGATTTAAATCACTAGGTATACATAAATTGAGGATTTAAATCACCAGGTCCAGAGTTCATGCTTTAAACCAACGAAAATGGTAAACTGATGATTTAAATGACATTTTTTCCATTTTTAAATTGGTTAACTAAAATGGGACATTTCTAACATATTTTAATATTAAAATGTGTTTGAAATTCGGTCGGTCCGGTTTTCACTCACACACATCATGTTGTTATTTAAGTTAACGCAAGAACTCCCTGCCGTTTTTAAGCCGCTCGCTTCTTTGGGTAGAAAAGAGGCGGGAAAATTAGATAAACCCTAAAAGAGAGAGAGCAAGAAGTGAAATTGAGAGAGCGAGAGAGAGAAGAAGGAGAGAGTGAAAGAGATGAGTCATAATCATCATCATCAAGCTGTTGATAATCTGATAAATGTTTTCTCAAGAGCTTCTCATGATCTTACAATTGTTCATTCCAAGCTCGACAAGGAGTTTCAGCAGCTTTATCCTGATAATGTAAGCAAAATTCGATTCCAATCTAAAATTTGAAATTACGAATTTCTTAAAGTTCAATACTTTGAATCGTAGGCGAATCCGATGAAGCTGATTCAGAGAATCAAGAAGTTGCAGGAAGATGTGACTCTTCTTAAAGACCAATGTCTTGACCTATTATCCGCTAAACAGGTTCGTGTCTCATAACGGTTATTTGAATAAGCTTTGGTTTAGATCTGCTAAGGCTTTTGCAACATCTGATTCTGACTGTTGTAGAAGTGATTTGTGTATTTGTTATAACAGGATTTGATAGATAAGGCACAGACCACACTTGTTGGAAATTGCAACCTTATTCAGAAAATGAATGTATCTTTGGGAGAATCAACGAATGGCGATGCCGATGATGCATTGGCTGATTTTAATCAGGTTCGCGCTCTTTTTCTTCATTGGTAATGCAATGTAGCGGTCTTTTTGGCTTGAAATGTTTGTCATATTGTTCAGTGCTTTGACGAGCTAGTGCAATATCCTAGTGATACTATTGAGATAATGGCAAGAACATTGAGATAATGAGCCTTAAAAGACACTTTCCGTATTTCCTTAGCTTTTCGTTTCTTGTTTTTCAACAGATCATCGACGAGTGGACAATGCAAGTTAGATCCAGAACAGGTATTGCTCTTTTAGAAGAAACTGTGATATGTATTGCAATCCTTGCAAATCAAGCTCTTCAATTTTTTTGTAGTGTTTGTGTTATCCTAAATGATGCTTCTCCTGTTTCTGATGCAGTGGGAGAGATAGAGGAGGCAGATAAAGAAGACATCAATAAGATGCTTTTCTCAGCTATTGTTCATACCAATTGAGGATGTTCATGTTTATGGTTATGTTCAGACCAATATCTGCATATAATCGAAATTGTGCTTTAGATTTTGTATCTAAGATCATTACATAATTTTACAATACCTTACCGAAACTATTTATCTATTGTGCTAAGAACTTGGGTTTTATCTTGGTCTTGTTTGGCTTGAAAGTGAGAGGCAGATACACATTGGCTTAAAAATTAGCCGGAGGACGAAGCTTTCTCACAAGCCATTTCCTACGTAATGAGACATCCAAAGCCAAGAATATCTTTGCTTTCCTCTCGTCTTCCAAAAGATCACAAGCATCCAGCAGAAGTTCATCATCCATGTCAGGCAGAGCTTGCAATGCATCAAGGGCACTTCCTATTCTTGAGTACATTTCATTCTGAGGCATGGGCTTGGTGCAATCATTGTCACCTTCTGTTTCACACAGAGGCTTCCTCATCTCTACTCCGGTTTTCTGAGCCTTACATACAACTAGCCCCAAAGGCGGAGTTATTGGGTTGGTTCGCTTATTCTGCTGCTTGTGGAGTGAACTCAAGTCATCAACTATTTCCATCTCATTTCCATAGTTTTCCAACTCGATCATGAGATTCTCACAATTGAAACTTTCTTGGGAGAGATGGTCATTTAGCTTGCACAAATTGCCGTAACTATCCAATGTTTTACCTTTGTATATGGTTGCATCTGGATGCTCCTACAAAATCAGACACTAATCACTTAGAATGACTTTATAAGAAAACATCTGTATAGTATTCGGTTTAACATTTTTACCTTGATATATGCTTCCCAATATTCATCTTCTGCAACAATGGTTTGCTTCTCTTCATCCCAAGTAAAGCCATCAAGGTTGAGGATATTGTTGATGTCGTCACGCTCTTTCATCATCAATATGTAACGATTCTCCAACATGAACATGTCAGTCTGTAACCCAAACTTTGCATTGAAGGATTCTGCCATGTCAGCCCAAGCTTGCTCAGTGAATGTCTCACCAATCTTATTTCCTCTATTCACCTGATCTAGCATAAGTTCAATAAGACAGCGGTCCATGACCCGTGTCCATTCTATACAGGGAGGACCAATATTACTACAGGTGTAATCATTTTTCTCATTGCTGGTATAAACCACCATCTGGATACCGTGAGTTTCTCCCAGAGTATCTTTAAATCCATCTGTGCTTCCACTTTCTGAGAAGTATTCATATAAATAGAGTTACATACAAAAGGATCATTTGTCAATCGTTTCTATATCGCAAGTCTCACATTCACAGCTTAATGAATCAAACGGAGATAGAGAGCACAATGTTACAATTATAAAACTTAGATAGAGCCAATATCATCAGATTAGCTTTACCTTTTATCGAATCTCAAAGACAATGCTAAAGAGAAGCTTACCGATCATCTGCACAGTTTCTGCCGGGATGGGATCAAAAGCTTGAGCCAAACGTGTGTATCTCCCATCCGACGTTTCCTTCCCAAAAACGAAGCAAAGATTTGGATAGCTTGGAATAGTTTTAACTCGATATGATCTAGCTTCTGGATGTGCCTGCACATGCTTCATTTGTAAGCAGAACCATATAACCGAGATCTTAAAAAGAAAAGAATGTGGCATTGCCTGTATATAGGTATTCCAAGTGTCATCATCTGCAAGCACCATATCTCTTCTTGTATCCCATGAGAAGCCATTTTGCTCCAGAAGAAACTTTATGTCGTTGTACAACCTCCTCAAGTGTTTGTACCGATTCTTTAGAACGTCTTTGTTGTGTTGAGACCCAAATTTGGTATTGAAAGCTGTAACCATTTCATTCCAAGCACTCGTTATGAAAGTCTGCCCTACTCTATTCCCATTGTTCACTTGGTCCACTAATAACTCAATTAGATAGTAGTCCATTGGCGGAGTCCAAAATGTCCTTGTCCGGTCAGAATTATGCACTTGGTTGGCCTTAGTCTCACCTGCAGAAGTAAGATTTAGGCATCTATCAGAATCGGATTAATCCAAAACGATTTAACTCACTTGTTTGAGCAGCCGAACCATCATCTCTATGATCTTTGCCTTGGACTGGATGAGGCATAGTCCCTTGCTCAGCTGGACAGGCAAATATTGTGTCCAAATCGTTGTAACTCGGTAAAGATTTCATCCTATACGTTCTCGTAAGTGGGTGGTCCTGTCTCATCACATCTAGATTCAAACTAATGGAGTAAAGATCAAAAGATTATTCAAGTTAGGAACTAATAGCCTAAGAATTCAAACCTTGATGTAAGAATCCCAAACGGCATCATCCGCAGCTATCATTAACCGATTTTCATCCCACGAAAACCCGTCTTCTTTCAAAATAACTTCCATATCCTTGTAGTACTTCAACAACTTATTGTACCGATGCCTTAAAACCCTTTTCCCATATTGACCACTAAATCTAGCATTAAACAAAACAAGCATATCTGTCCATGCTTGTTTACTAAAAGCATTACCAGTCTTGTTACCTCTTCCAATTTGATCAACCATAATCTCAATAAAGTATTGATCCATTTCCGTAGTCCACTCAGTTTTCGAGCTTTCTTTACCCGATATAACAACACTTCCACTACTTTCACCTACAAAAAAACCCACATTGTAACTAACCAATCCAAAAACTAAGTAAGCATAAACCAAAAGTTTTGAAAAAGAACCAAAAAACACACCATTGATCTCATCTTCAACCTCTAAATCATGACTTGACATACTATATCTCCCATCAGCAACAGTATACCCATAAATCAAACACAAATCACTAAAATTCAACACCGGTTTCGTCTTATAAACACGCGCCTCAGGATGAGCCTATAAAAACCACAAACCACCAGTCAAAATCATATAAACCAAATCCAAACTAAAACATAGAAAAATCTGATTTTTTAAACCTTAAGATACAAACTCCATAAACTCTCATCACCAATCACAGTTTGATGAGTCTGATCCCAAACAAAACCACCATGATCAAGAAGACACTTGACATCATTATACTGTTTCCAAAGATTCGTATACCGGCTTTTCAACACGTCTTTATCGTACTGTGACCCGAATTTAGAATTGAAAACACTAAGCATCTCGTTCCAAGCTTGCTTATTGAAAGTGTGACCGGTTCTGTTTCCTCTGTGTAAATGCTCTAACATAAGATCTATAAAGAATCGTTCCATTGTCGGAGTCCAATACGTTCTTGTTCGATCATTGCAAGTGATTTGACCACTCATCTTCTTAGCTCTCTCCTCTAAGTACAACGAAGAAGAAGATGAGAGTAAGAAACAGAGTACCGTTAGCGGTTACAGTTGCACGCGGCGGAGAGAGGGAGAGAGATTGGGCGGAGTTTGGGAGAGAGAGTAAACCTAATCCTGAATTACGACATCTTCTGTTTGGCTCCACTGTTTTGTCTCTCTCTCTCTGGTTTTTTATATTATGGGCTTTTTGTTTTATTGGGTCAGTGAGCCTTTCTTTAATTTATAAGGGCCTTACTGGATCCATTATAAACATATATTTTTAATTAAAAATAAAATGAAAATTATAAATTATATTAAATATGTACGATATATAATATTTAATAAGTATAAGATGTTCGAAGCTGTTGACTAGACTTGATCCACTCGGCCTGATACACTCGCTCTATTCACTTTGCCAGAAGGGGCGAGTGAAAACCTTCGCAGAATCAAATATTCGTTTATGATCTGGTTTATTCTGGCCGACCTATATCCAATTTTTTTAAAGAATTGATAAGGGTCTTTGACACCAAATCAATTGCATCACATGGAAAATATTCATTGCCTTTGCCTCCAATGCCGAATTTGTTAGTGACAGTCTTATTGACTCTCACTAAGAGATCTCGCAAGATCCAGGCTAGCTCATGTGATCATGTCATATCGTTTCCATGATTAGTTAGACGAACCATAGAAGCTGCAAGTACTCACTAAACATTGTTATTACAAGTAGATTAGTCATGAAAATTAAGAGAGGGGGAACAAAATGCAAAGTCGATGAAGAACAATATAAGATATGTTAACTCTCAAAAAATTTCAGTTCCTAAGATTTGTAGAGTGTTTTAGACTTTTAGGTAAGACTTAGAGCCATAAAGGGGTTGGCAAAGTGGTATGTTTTTAGAATTAAGTTTGGGTCTTTTGCTGCGTTGAATTATAGGGGGATGAAGTTGGATGAAAGATGTCAGTTATGTGGAGGAGATGAAGAAACTGTAAATCATGTGTTGTTCTCTTGTTCTATGGCTAGACAAATCTAGGCCTTCACTGGAATTCCCTCTCTTTGTTGGGGGTTTCAAAATGGTTCTGCTTTTGCTAATATTCATTACCTATTAATGAATATTAAGAATCCCTTATGGTAAGAAGAATTACGATCTTTGTTCCTTTGGACTTTATGGCGTATTTGGAAGAACATAAACATTGCCTCTTTTGAAGGTAAATGTTTTTCTCCACTAAATTAATACAACCAAAACAATTAGAGAGGACTGGTTGAATGGATTGATGCTCGGAAAATTGAGGAAGAAGGGGTACCTCTTGTGAGTAGTTGGGAGAATGGAGTGGTGAATGGTCAGAGACAAGAGAATGATGGTGAAAGGTTTAATTTAGTTGGTGTCCGCCACCTAGAAATTGGTTCAAATGCAATATTGATATATCTTGGTCCTACAGAAATAAGTTTGATTGTTGTGCATGAGTTTTAAGGGACCATTTGGGTGTGGTCTTACTTTATAGTAGGAGAATGTGATTTTTGCGTTGTGAGGATTAATGTGAAGCACGATACTCAGTTCTTGGGTTTGATGTGGGCTATTGAAAGTATGAGGAGTCATAGAGTAGAGAATGTAATTTTTGCGTTGCAGGAAGAGGTTTTGGTAAAGGCTATTATCAGACCGGTGGCTTGGCCGTCTTATGGAGGCTGGTTTAGCTCTTAAGTCTTTCAAGGTTTAAAAAACTCTTCTTCAAACAGAGGTGGTTTTCTTATTGCGAAGAGTCTTACTAATGACTGTATGCTACAATCGTATGTTGCGAGTGGTCATCCTTCTTGGCATAATGGGGACTTCCCAGAAGAAAGAGCTTTGTCCTCCGATTGAATTTGAGTTTTTGGGTTGTATGGGTCCGGGTTTGGAGTTTATTCTTTTGTACTTGCCCTTCTTTTGTTAGTAAGAGGCTTAGTTTAGGCTTGATGATTGTTGAGTTGTTGTTCTCACTTTTAGATGTGTGACTTCTTGGGATTATGATGTAAATTTTCAATCTTTCTATCAATATAATTCCAGATGACAAAAAAAAGAAAACTGCAGAAGAGTTTTTTTTTTTTGTCTAACTAGTTTTCCGGCATTTGCAATTGGTAAACAATTTATTTTAGATCAGTTACAATGTATTTTAACCGAATTCATTGTAAGACTTTAAAAAACATAGTGACAATTTTTTTTTTTTGGTCAACATTTATAGTTTTGTTTTTCTCCCATAATTCTTTGGGTGACATTTTTCTTTACAAGTTTATTTGGAAAGTTAAAATTTTATTACTAGTAAAAAAGATTACACTAGTGTGTATGCCCTCATCAAACTTGCGAACATCTCTTTAGTAATTTGTTTTTGGTTATTATATATATAAATCCACAATGAAAAAAAAAGAAAGATGAATACTTAATTTTAGATGCTTGTAACCAAGCTGCTTTTTTAGAATTTTTCTTTAACTTTTACATAAATTATTTTCTCACTTTTAGATATTTCCTGGACCCCCATAATATATGGCATTTCTTATCGGTAATTCTACGAATATATCATCATAAACTTTATAACCACGAGTGTTATCTGAAAATGCCTCTCTATTCTTTATCCGCTCAACACTCTTAAAATTTTCGTCGACTATAGTTATATTAAAGATGACGGCATCATACTCTATATGCGTTTCTGGAAAATAACCATTCCCCATCTGAGGACTCGGTAAAGATGCACTATATACTTCTCCTCCCCACTCAATATTGTTGGCAAAACTTTGTTGAAACTTTTTTCCTGGCCAATACCCAATTTCTTGTCCTCCTAACTTGAGCCACCAATTTCCATTTTCCTTATTCTTTAATCAATTGTCACATCAAAACAAAGACAGATCATTGTAATAAATAATGATTTTATTCAAACAAACTATTAAATACCGATATAACTTTGACTAACAAAAACAGTTTGAGTTTTTTTTGTTTGATCTTTTGTGAGATTTATTCCCTATATTTGATATATATTCTAGCACTTTATTGTTGAATAACATGATTTTCTGAAAAGAACCCGTAAAGTCATCAATTTATGCAATTTTACCTTCCATCACCTAAAATACAGGTCAATCCCCCGAGTTCAAAAAATATTACGCAATAGAACATGTCGTTACTATCTTCAAATCTATTAAACTTATATAAATAATATATCAAATCAAAGTTCAAATCCAAATCCGCTTTTAGAATGTTAAAAATTTAGTGTATGTGACCGTAAAAATTTGTTGAAGCCAACTGTTAGGGTTATATTATGTATTACTTCTTTAACAAACAAAATATATTATGTATTAGTTTTGATTTTGTGGGATTGATCTACATTTTTTTGTAGGTAGCGGTTGCGGTTCGGGGTTAGTTTGAGTATTCCAGGTTTCAAGTATTTCGGTTTCTGAGGCTAAGTTACATTTTTGTATTTTCAAATTTTGGATCGTGTTTGGTTTGTTATGTTTCTCGTTTGGATAGGTACGGATAGTTGAATAGAGAACCGGAAAATATCCGATAGTTTTTGGATACAATCTTGTTGTAGCATTTTTTTGGATACAATCTGATTTGAAGATTTTTTTTTTTTTTTTTGCAGAAAACTCAATAACGAATTAAACCATAAACTTGTTTAGTTGTAAATGTAGATAATAAATATAATAAAATAAATGTATATATAGATAAACAAAATATCATAAAATAGAAAAGAACAAACCTTGAGTAAACCAAATTCAGAATAGACACCTGATCTTGAACCACGAACACTAGGAGGACCTAAATAAAAACCAAGAGAAATATCTGAACTGACCATTATAATCCCAGCTGGACACAGGCTGTTATAACATTGATTTTCACCCATCTGTATAATTAAATATATATCGTTATGCCTAACATCAAAAATATTTTGTACATTAAAAATCTTTCACAAAATATGATGGGATAAGTAATATATTAGACATACATATATTGATAATAAACTTACTTTCGTATACACATAACTTCGAGTTTTGTTGTCAGAATACAACTTTTGATTTACCTGAAATGTAAATAAGTTTATGGAAATAAATTAAAGGAACATATCAAAATTTTAGATTTTTTTAAAAACATTTACTTATCATGATTATTTATATTATTTAGAGAACATGTTATAATTCAAATCAAATATAAGATAAGACAACAAACTTACAGTCCACCCAGCTTGAATAAAATCATCTCCAATTTGAACGTGCATACGAGCAGAACTATATTGTAAAGATTTAATTTTAGGATCATTTATAGAAAGTATCATTGTTGCTCCATTATAGATTTTTCCTTTTCCCTTGGTACGGGACACTGCAAACTAATCATCAACACCATATACATAACCAATATTTATGTTATGAGTTTGTATAATAGTATATATATGATTTTGAAATATAAAAAAGATTAGACCACTTACATGATGTTGATTATCATCAACATTATATTTATTATAAGTGAAGTTCCAAGAACCTCTAGGCTTATAACTATTAGAGAACAAATTTAATTTCAAGAGTTCGTCTTTAGCAATTGTTTTTATAGGCACGGTACCGATGGGACATCCTATGCCATTTTTCCATAAGTAACCAAACTTTCCATTATTTGCTCTTGAAGTTTGTAAGGATGATGGCCGACCCATCTATATTTACAAATAAATTTTGTATTAGTTATTGTAATAATTATCAAATTCACATGTATTAAATATATTATTTACTTCATAATGAAATAAGTGATTTTTCATCGACGGATGGTCAAACGCTGGTTGTCTGTAAAAATCCACACATCCATATGAATCGCCATGTATAGTCTATCATTCAGAAACAAATTAGATTAGAGATTATTTTGTAAAATTCATATATTTAGTATAAGAACATGCATTCATTTATAAGTACAATTCAACGTGAATAGTATGGTTCTAGAGTTTAAGATAAAATTAAACGGACCTTGATAATTTTCGTAGCAGGTTTGTTGACGACTTTAAGTTGCTCTTCAATTTTAAAACCGCTGAAAGTTTGCAATGTTTCAGCATCCACAAAACGATTGATATACAAGATATAACCCAACAAGAATAACAACATCCTCCAACAACTTAAATTCATATTCCTTAAGAAGAGAGTTAGGGTGAAATCTAAGAGTAAAGAGAGATTTGTTTCCATACTTCAATATTTAATAACTATATATATAATAATATTAAAGTATGAGATAAGTATAAACATAAAGAGCATTAATGTTTAATAGATACATGTGACTTTCTTTTATCAAAGTTAAAAGTATATAATTAGTTCATCCGATTTCGTTTTTTAATTTGTGTTATGAACCTTATGATGCATTATTACCATTATGATGTGCTTTGTGTATCTATACTAAATACATGTAAATTAAATTTAGGTTACTAGCTTATGAACTCAACTCAATTTATTATATATTGATATATATATATATATATATATATATATATATATAATAGTTGTATATCATAACATTGAAATAAATGAGACAAAAAGAAACTTAAATGATATTACTATTTAGTAGATATTTGTGACTTTTTCATCAAAGTTTAACTATTAGACTTACCGGATATTAATGCTTAATAGATACATGTTGTTCTTTTATTTATTTATGTGTTATGGTACATTGTCACCATTTGTTTAAAACTTCTACATTATTACCATTAGGCTATGAACCCTCGCAAATCACAGGAGAATTCATTTTGAACAAAATCTTGTATTGCAAATATTATTTAATTGAGCTTTAGTATTAAATTATTGTGATAATGCATTTAAATGTATCAAATTTTTAAGAATAAATTTTTTATATCCATTATAAATTAATAGAAAAAGAAACTAAATTTTAATAAGCGGTTAAATGATAGTAGATATCAACAAAGACTTATGATAAATAGATGCATTTAAATATATGCGACAAAACTTTGATAAGAATTATATCCAGAAGATTATTAAATATATGGTTACGGGATCCCCACAGCATTTTCGAGATTGTTAGTGAAAGAGGCAATCTTTTGTAAATAGATGGTTATATATACGTTAAATAGACATAAGTTAAAAGACACACCCCGACATTTCGAAACAAACTTTTTATGATAAAAGATTAAAACACTGCAACTCAAAAAATGCGATTCAACTGTTTGATAAAATGATGTATGTAGAAAATATGCAAAATGTAGAATTACAATAAAGAGACACAACTTTTCTAGAGTGGAGAGTTAAATAATAAAAAAATCTTTAACCACTATTTAAAATTGTCAAAATAAAGAGTTACGATATAAGAACAAAACTCTCATAAGTGGAAAACTATAGAGACACAATCATCTCAAGTATTGTCCAAAGATTGTTACAAACGTTTATAAGTAAAACTATAATAACCAAAGAATGATTACTAAAAACATGATCCTCTGAAACATTTTATATAGTGGTAAAAATATTTATAAGTGGAAAAAAATACAGACAACGTACAAATAAAGAGATAAGACTGTCCAAAAAAATTAAGTGATTAAAACTTATGTTTTTTTTTTCAAAATCCATAAATATTTTGTCAAATCAATAATTCTATCTTTAATCACTCTATGATGATTAAATGTAAACAGAGTTTCTCAATGTTTAAATCATGTATGTTTAGTAATTTTTTGAAATAGTTGCATATGGGTATACATTGATCTAACAATGTGCAAAATCATTAGGATGTCATCGGGCATAGGGATCAGAGGAACCATTAGAATGTTTTTAGGTCTAAAATCGCTAATGTGCCTTGTTTACTAAGAGTTCAACGATCTTTTTCGAAACAGTCGTTTTCGAGCACAATGCATTTCCCAGAGGATTTGGTGGTGGACTCTCTAGGTTTCCGGTTGTACCTTTGGCACGATTGCGATTAATATCCAAACAATGGAATGCTCTGATCAAATATGGGAGAGTTCTTTCTAAGAAGCACTAGCAACGACTTGTGTCTTATGCAACAACGACTTAGAATCCAGAAACCACCTGTTTTCGACTGCGCTTTTCACCTATGAAATTTGGAAGAATCTGGCCAAGAATATCTAAAAAGCAAAGTACTCAACCAGCTGGTAAATCCTGATCCCCACTATCTTGAGTCCTTAGCAAGACCGAGTGGAAAGCTTTATTGCTCGATATCTCTTTCAAGCTACGGTATATACTGTATGGAGAGAGAGGAATGGAAGAAGACATTGAGGAGAACCCAAATCCTGCAGCCCGCATAATCAGAATGATAGATAAGCAAATTCGGAATCAGATCTCATCAATCCGATCACATGGAGATCAAAGATACGACAAGAGCCTCCAAGTGTGGTTTAAAACAAGGAGTTAAGTAACAGTTCTTAGATCTCATGTTTTAAGCATAAATCAACCAAAAGTTGCACTAGTTATAAAAACGTTTATTTTTCTTTTGAATCTAATTAAACATTATATTCAAAAAAAAAAAAAAAAATGCTCCAAGGCCCTCCTCCACTCAAGTTCTCTTGTTGATTGACAAAGGGAATTTGTAAGTGAGCGTGAGCGTTGCTCTCCGTAAAGTTGACAACGACAAGGCTGTTCCAACTGCAAAGGTAACAGGTCAATTCAGCCTAAAAGATCCTCTTTCTAACTCTTCAGAAGAAGTTGATATACGGTTTTTCACTGCAATGGCTTGTTGCTATGCACCACCAAAGCCAATAAACTGGTTGTCTGGAATCCATGTTCAGGTAAAAGAAGGTGGATCCAACCCAGACTTAGCTACAAGGAAATCAAACACTATGCTCTCGGTTACGTTAACAGATCCGCATGTTACCAAATCTTGATGATGGATCGATCTGGTGATCATTTCCCATTCAAAATTGAGTACCAAGTCTATGACTTTACCTCTAAATTGTGGCGGGTTGTTGGTGAGACTGGAGACTGGTTCATACTTCATACCACGGTTTCAACCTCTTGGCACATCTATGAAGGAAAATACTTACTGGCTTGCTTTTAGTCAACAAGGACAAGGTGTTATCTTGCTATGTTTGATTTTTCAACAAAGAGATTCCAAAGTGTGTCTCTTCCCGAGGATGTTCCTCGTTCTCATTGTTGTGTGGCTTTATCAATGACTATTGACTAGAGAAGAGCAACAACTTTGTATATTTGCTATTCAGAGCTCTGAGGTATGGATAGCCACTAAGATGGAGAGTACAAAAGACATTTCATGGAGCAAGTTCCTGACAGTGTCGAAATTTGATCTCCGCTATCATTTGCGGTTTTGTGTTGGGATGAGTTTCTTAGTCGATCAGGAGAAAGAAGGCACACATTAATTCTCTGAATTCTGACTGTTCATCATAACTATATTCTTCCAAATCTCAAAACCCAAAAGACTAAAACTGACAACAACTTGGAACTTGTAAGAGAATTTACACTGAATCCAAAACCAAAAAAAAAACATTGATTTGCTTTGTAATACAGTAAGTTTGGTCTTGCTCAGATTTTCAGAAACCATCAGTTTTTGATTTTCACCAGCCACAATTACCTCCAAGTGTTTGTAACATATGAAAGACACCAACAAATCTTTATAATCTCTCATCGAATATATGAGACCTAAATCCAAATCATCACAACTAACTACAAAGTAACCTTAGAATCAGAATATGATTTATATGAAGACCATAGATATAACAGAAAACTTAAGTTTTACTCTTAAAAAAGGGTTGCCGAAATGGACTTTCATGCCGAAGACAAAGAAAACTAACAAGCTAAGACGGAACATGGACTTTCATGGCGAAGAAACGAATTCAAATTGGACTCCGAGGCCAGCCCTCAAAAACCTTAGATCGGACAGAGCTTACAGCTTCTCCGTGAACAATCCACACTCTCAAACTGTAGACAAGTAAAGCATCAGGGATTGAAAGGACCGGGATCTCCAACACCGCGAGTGGGAACCCGCATCATCCTGACAACCGTCATCCAGAACTAGCTCCTCCGACGAGCTCCAAGGCTGCTTAGAGGAGACCCGTCAACAGAGCATATCCCACTTAAGACCAGTACCATCACAACAAACGAAAGACCCGCTAGCAACACGCACGGCAAAGGCAAGAACCTCAAGACAGGAGTCCAACAAAGCAAGCTTCAAAGCCTCAAGACAGAAGCAAAGACACACTTATCATTATTCTTGGTTCCTACTAACACACACAGATCTATCCAATTTCACAATGAGCCAAGAATTCAAAAGAAAAACTAGAAAAATCGACACGAAATCACCAATTTATTCCATAGATAACTTGGTTTTTATGTTTATTGTATCAAAATCGTCATCAAAACGATCAGATACAAGCAAGATATCAGAAACACACAACACAAAGATCCTCACACACAATAGTTACATAACATAATCCAAATCATAAAAGACAAGGATCTTGACCTAAGAGACAACACGGCCAACGACAGGATACTTAGCTTCAAATTTGGTCTCCCAATCATTAAGAGTATTGATCTCTTTCTCAGTGAGACCTTCAAGAGAAGGAGACACATCTTCTTCGTTCTTACTCATCTTTCCCAAAGCTCTGCTCGCGTCTTTTCCGGCGAACATCGCGTAATCGCCTCCGGAGCCGTAGAAGGATTTTCCGGTGGTGACATCAAATACACGGCCTTTGATTGCGACGTAGATCGGCTTCGATTCGTCGGTTCCGTTGTATTGGCTTAGCTGCTCTGCGGTGAATTCCATTTTTTCTCTTAAAAGCTCTGATAGATTTTTTCTCGAAAGAACCAAATAAAAGATTGAGAGAGATTGTTTTTATTATTTTTATAGCAGAATAAATTGTTTTTTTTTTTAATTAAGTGGAATAACTTTTTGTGTCGGTAATAAGTGGAATAACTTTATTTTATTCTTCAGATTTTAGAATATCAAAATTATTTTATTTTTCTCTAATTGAAGTCAATAAAATTTCAAGAAATGCTTAATCTTTGAAAGGATAGAATACATTTTTAAAAGTTTGCATAAAAATTGTAAATACAACACTTATATAGGTAAGGGGCATTTGTAATCCTTTTCTATGTTTTTTTCAAAAATATTCTTTCATATGCAAACTTTTAAAAATGTATATAAGTCTTTGGGAGATACAAAAGTAAGGGGCATTTGTAATCCTTTTCTATGTTCTTTTTTCAAAAATATGCTTTCGTATTGTCTATTTTCAAAAATATTTTTGATCGATCGATCCAAAAATAGACCGATTGATCTGGCTCTTCTTGTATCATATTCTGCAACTGCTTCTAGTGCTCGCGTGTCTTCACTAAATCAAGTATAACTCTTGAATGCACCGTTAGATTTCCTTCATAACACTTGAAAAATTAAGCTAACATCTTTATCAAACTTGTATCAAAAATTCAGAAAAGATCTAACGATAGAAGTCCTCCATTTGAGGCCAAATGTCTAACACTTAGAAACAAATCTTCATATCCAAATATGTATTTATATCCCAAAATGACTCTTTTTCCTCCGAAGCAATATAAAACATGTAGAGCCTCGATAAAATACTAAAAGACTCTAAAACACACTTTGACTCAATAAAATATATGATTTATGAAAAAAAAACCATGACTTAAAACCGATAAAAAACACAACATATCAGGGATTCCAACCGTTCGACAAAAGTGCAGGTCGACGCCGTACCAATAGTGGAATGCAATACTGATCGGTAAAATTTTATGATGAGACTACTCACACATGACCAAGGTACATGTGACTATTGTTGAAGAGAGATCACGAGTTCTAAAGGAGATCTACCAAAGAAATCTAAATTTTAAAGCATAAACAACAAAGAAAATATGAAGAAGGAAAGAACACCAAAGAAGTATATAAAATTGAAAGTAAAGTGTATCTCTGCGGCTATAGAATACAAGATTATTTATAGAGATTGGGACGCAGCCCTAAAAGAGAGAAAGAGGCGGTTTAAATAATAGCCCACCGATTGGTGGACAAGCCCAATTGATCGGTAGCATGCGTGTTTTTCCATAGGTTTGTGCAAAACTCCACTGAACGGCCTCCTAATGGATGATCTCTTCTTTAGGTGTTTTTTGGCCCATTTCTTACTTAAAATGTTCACTTCTGTTCCGTAGGTCTAAATTCCTAAAAACACTTATTTATATCGAAAAAGACTTGTTCCTAAATAAAAACTCGTTAAAACATATAAAATAAACTTATAAAATATGTTAAAATATCACTTAACAAATAGTATAATATAATTTATAAATTAATAGGTTAATTATTGAGAGTTTGGTTATGCACAATTGGTTACTTGATTTGATCTTGCATATAATTTTCTAGTATTATCTACAATTGGTTACTTGATTTTACAATTTTTCTTAAAAATTCAATTTTAATAGATTTATGTATGCCTAATATGATTATTATAAGATATTATGCCATTTGACATACTATGCCAACAATAGTAATACAGCTGTGTGTATATATAATATCTGAAACACAAAAGCCAATAACAAAGCAAAATAACTAAATATCTACCCAAAAAAATGAAAAACTTTTCAGTCTTTCTATTCGTTTTTAGTCTTTGCATGCTTGGCCATGTATCCGGCTCTGGAATAAGGATAGCGAACGAACTCAAATTCAAGAAACTTCTCTGGATTAGATGTTATTCCAAAGATGATGTATTCGGTCCAAAAACAATACCAATCGGACAACACGTTGAAATTTCTTTTCGTATTAATTTATGGGCTACGACGCGTTTTATGTGTACTTTGAGGCAAGGGCCTAACTATAGACATTATCAAAAATTTACAGCATTCAAGCTTTTCGGTGTTACGGATCATGGAGGCCTATGGGACTGGAGAGCAAGAGAAGATGGAATATATTTAAACAAAGAAGGTGGCAGACATATTAGGAATCCGGTTAATATGCATAAAATGTATGATTGGATAAATTAAAAATGTTTAACAACCTATCTAAAAACAAGAAAAAGTTATCTTATCACTTTAAAACAAGAAAATTTATACATAAAAAAAAATATCTTCTCAAGTTATAATATGACTAAAAGTAAAAAGAAAATAAAATATATCTTATAAAATAAAGCTTGGTTTTCAAAGTTACTAACTCATATGATCGAGACAACATGTCAAAGTTATCGTTTGGTACCATGTGTAACACAAATATTTGGTTTGTAACAATTTTAAAAATGTAAAAAAAAATAATTATAAGAAAATTATATGTAAACTTTTAACCATTTTAAAAGTATCATCTTTAAAACACAATTAGAATTATATCCTTAATACGCATATATATATACTGATTTTAACATTAAATTTTTTATTAACTATGTATTTTTTAATTTTTGAATTATTTTAATATTAACTAAGATATATATATATATATATATATATATATTTGATATGATGCACATATTAGTTTTGACATAAATATTTTAACTCTTATTCGGAGTGAATAGAATTAAAATCCAATTTAATATGATAAAATAGATATTTAAATTGTATTATAAAATAAAATTTGTAAGGTTAAAACAAAATAAATAGATTAATCTATATAAAAAATAGAATGTAAGTTACCACTCAAAATTCAAATCCTTATAAACCCTTATAATTCCTTTATGAACCCTTATAAATTTTTGAAGAACTCTTGGAAATCTTTTTAAAACGATTATAATTTTTTTTTTAAAGCCCTTATAAATCCTTTAAACTCTCTTTAAATCCTTTAAAAATTCTTATAGAATCCTTTAAAAACCCTTATAAAACAATTTTAAAACCTTTACAAGCCTTTATAAATCTATTAAAACACTTGTAGATTTTTATAAAATCCTTGCAAATCCTTTTAAAACCCTTAAAAATCTTTGTAAATCCATTTCCCGTAAAGAATTTAGGGATCACGTTTTCCGCCAAAAATAATGGGGTCACTCTTCCTGTAAATCAGAAACACACAACACAAAGATCCTCACACACAATAGTTACATAAGATAATCCAGATCATAAAAGACAAGGATCTTGACCTAAGAGACAACACGACCAACGACAGGATACTTAGCTTTAACCCTGCCACTCATGAGTCCTCTTCCTCTTTTTGGTATAGCAGAATTTCAGATTTGTCTTAATGATAATGAGCTTTCTGACCTCACTAGCAGGGGCATGTTTTACGCGTGGTCAAATGAAAGACCAGATGATCCAGTTTTGAGGAAGTTAGATAGGGCTGTGGTGAATGAGGATTGGGCCACTGCTTTTCCTGAGTCAGTTGCCATTTTTGATCCGCCTGGAGATTCAGACCACTCGCCATGTTTAGTTATTACAGATGCTTCAATTGAAAGGACCAAGAAATCTTTTAAGTACTTCTCGTTTTTATCAACCCATCCAAAGGTCAAAGAGGCAATGCTGGAGGCTTGGTCTAAGGATGTGTGTGTTGGTTCCAAATTATTCATATTGGGTCAGAGGATGAAAGAAGATAAGCTGGCTTGTAAAAGTCTCAACAGGACCGGGTTTGGAAATATTCAGCAGAAGACTAAAGAGTTTCTGGAACACCTCGAGTTAGTGCAATCGTCACTATTAGCTATTCCTTCTCCATCCCTGTTTAGAGAAGAATTCATAGCCCGACAAAAATGGAATTTTTTTGCCTCTGCTTTAGAAATGTTTTACAGAAGGAAATCAAGAATAAGATGGACCAACGAGGGTGACGATAACACAGCCTTCTTCCATAGGGCAGTGATTGCAAACCAAGGTAGAAATTGCATCAAGTTTCTTAGAGGGTCAGACGGTCTCAGAATTGAAAACCAGGATCAAATCAAGGATATGGCCACAGCTTATTTTCAGAATGTCTTGGGTTCAGAGAGTGTTGGAGTTTCCCCTCTTTCTGTTCAATAGATTAAGGATCGGATCTGGTTGGTTTTAGGTATTCTCAAAGTCTAGCAGCTCAATTGGTGGATATTCCTTCAGATGTTGAGATTAGAGACACTCTTTTCAGGATGCCTAGAAACAAGGCCCCTGGTCCTGACGGCTTTCCTATGGAATTCCGGAAGATGTGCTCGCTATTTCCGCGTATATGTGGGATGTGACTTGGTTACTATTTCATATGTTTGACCCACATTATTACAAGAACACATGTAAAAGCCTAATTTAGTTCGTCTTTCTCTGCTTTATCGTTTATGGTATGATATATCATGGATTTTACTGCTTTTATGATATATGTATCGGTTTTAGAGTCTTATTGTTGTTTCTAGAGTCTTTTCTAGTCATTTTCAGGTCTTTACATGTTTGGGATACATTTGGAAGATAAGGAAGCATTATGGAGCTAAACCGGGGAACAAGAGCTGAAGAGACGAATTCAGAGTCAGACCAAGGCAGGAGTTGTTGGTGTCGGATCCCGCACCAGTAGACCGGGACCAACCAAAGATCGCCACGTAGTCAGGGTGAAGGCCCGTAAAGAATAAAGCCCATTAAATCCAAGGTGTACAAGATATAGTCGAAGTGGGCATCATCACGAAAGGAGCTCGAAGTGGTCCCATTTCGGGATATGACCCGGAATCAAAGTCAAGATGGTTCAAAGTAATTTGGGCCAAAAGGCGAAGCCCATGAAGATCGGAGTCAATTCAAATTCAAACGTTGAGCATTAAACTCAAAGACCAAAACGGATGCATTAAAGAGAGAATAATTGTATTTAATTAGGGATTAAATGTCATTTGTGAGTATAAGTAAGAGGGCTAATAGCCATGTAAGGGATACGCAATTTTTCTAGCAAATACACTATAATCACTTTCCATTTCAATTCATAGCTTTTTGTATCGTATTTTTGTCCTCAAGAGTAATCATTCCCACAAAATAAACAAATATTCAAGTGTGCGAATCCGACATCCACAGGAGTGTCGATCGACACTGTACGCGGCCCAACAAAAGTCTTGACGGTTTAAGAGTTTTGAAGCCTACATAATCGACCTAGAAGACTTTCCTATTTACAATTTTAGTCCTTGCACGTTTTTGAGACATTATAAATAGTTTTTAGGGTTTTTATTATTCATCATCAAGCAATCTTGCAATCTTGCAATCTTGCTTTCAGCTTTGTAATTCTCTAAGCTTGAACCCTTTGAAAGATAACTGGAGATAGCTACTTTCAGAGATTTCAAACCCTTGTAGTGAGAAGATCTTTTCTAAACTCTATTCTACTTTTGATTTCTTTATGCAAATTTTATCAAACATGCTTTTTGTTTCTATGATCATGTCTGAGTAGTTTCCCTGTTAAGTTTAGGGATTTTCATTAGGGATTTAGATAAATTAGTAGATCGATAACCTGTTAAGATTACTCTATAGAGTTCTTCACTTTTGATTGTTCTTAATGCTAGTTCTAGAGTAGCTAACTAGACATTGATCTTAGGATAATAGGTTAGACACGAGAGTACGCCTATTACTGGTACTATCTTAGGTAGGCAGAAATTACTAGATACAGACGAGAGTTGGTCTAGGAATCTCTGTGAACATATCAAACCGGATTTTAATGCTAGGCTAATTTTAGGAGTTTACATACGAGAGTTGGAACTTTCTGCTATTAGGTTTTAGTCAATTCAGAGGAGAGTTGGTTGGCTATAGCTTAGTGATTTGAGTTCTAGAACAGTTCGATAATAATCCTAATTAATTGCTAGATCTACTATTTGTTTATTTCCTGAGAAATTCTCTAAACCTGAAACTTTAATCTACTTGAATTCACACCCGATTTTATTGCCTTTCTGTTTTTTTAATTTTCTCATATTTTATGTAGCTTAATTTTGAGACTGTTAGCTTATTGTGTGAACAAAGAGGTTTGTGAAATTCGACCCTTAAGTACTAAAATGATCTCTTATTTGAGAGAGTAAACTTGAGGTCTAATTTGTTCTATATCATGGTACATGACAACTAGGCTATTATTTTTAAAGTCAGATTTTAAAAATAAATACTTATTTGGCTATATAGATAGTATGATATAATTTATAAATTAATAGTTTAATTATTGAGAGTTTGGTTATGCACAATTTCTTACTTGATTTATCATTTGATCTTCCATATAATTTCCTAGTATTATCTACAATTGGTTACTTGATTTTACCATTTTTCTTCAAAATTCAATTTTAATAGATTTATGTATATCAAATATGATTATTATAAGATATTATGTCATTTGACATACTATGCCAACAATAGTGATACATATGTGTCTATATATAATATATGAAACACAAAAGCCAATAACAAAGCAAAAAATCTAAATATCTACCCAAAAAAATGAAAAACTTTTCAGTCTTTCTATTCATTTTTAGTCTTTGCATGCTTGGCCATGTATCCGGCTCTGGAATCTGGATCGCGAACGAACTCAAATTCAAAAAAATTCTCTGGATTAGATGTTATTCCAAAGATGACAAATTAGGTCCACAAACAATACCAATCGGACAACATGTTGAAATTTCTTTTCGTAATAATTTCTGGGGTACAACGCGTTTTATGTGTACTTTGAGACAAGGGCCTAACTATAAACATTATCAGGAATTTACAGCATTCAAGCTTTCCGGTTTTATGGATGAGGGAAGCGTATGGGACTGGAGAGCAAGAGAAGACGGAATCTATTTAAATAAAGGTGGCAAACATATCAGGAATCCAGTTGATATGCGTAAAGTGTATGATTGGAAGACAGATTAAAAATGTTTAACAATCTATCTAAGAATAAAAAAAGTTATCTTATCAATTTGAAAGAAAAAAATTTATATATAGATAAAAAAATATCTTCTCAAGTTATAATATGACTAAAAGTAAAAATAAATAAATCTATATACATATATATATATATATATATATATCTTATTATATAAAACTTGGTTTTTAAAATTAGTAACTCATATGATCGTGACACATGTCAAATTTATCGTTTAGAGATTTTACCATGTGAAACACAAATATTTTGTTCTTAACAATTTGTCAAATGTAAAAAGATATTTATAAGGAAATTATATATAATTTTTAACCATTTTAAAAATATCTTTAATAAAACAATTACATTTATATCTTTGATTCGCATAATATTATATATATTTATATGGATATATTTGATATGATGGACATATTAGTTTCGATATATATAAATATTTTAGATCTTATCAAGAGTACGTAGAATTAAAATCAGATTTATTATGATAAAATATATGGTTAATTTGTATTGTTAAAAACAAAATATAAGATAAAAAAAAATTTAATAGATTAAGTTATAAAAATAGAATGTAAGTTACCACTCAAAATTCAAATCCTTATAATTCATTTCAGTTTTTTTGTAAATACTTTTAAAACCATTTAAAACCCTTATAAATATTTTATAACCATTGTAAATCCTTTTAAAACCCCTTGTAAATCTTTTTAAAACTTTTAAAAGTTTTTATAAAATTTTAAACCCCCTTGTAAATCGTTTTAAGACCTATATTAAATCCTTTAAAAAGCCTTCAAAATCCTTAAAAAAATTCATTGTAAATCCTTTATGAACCCGTTTAAAACTTTTATTATTATTTTTAAAAAGCTCTTGTAAACCCTTTAAAACTCCTTGTAAATCCTTTAAAAAGTCTTATAAAATCTTTTAAAATCCTTTATAAAATCTTTTTAAAACCCTTTAAAAATCCTTGTAAATCTATTTCCCGCAAAACATTTGAGAATCACGTTTTCCGCCAAAAATTATAGGATCACTTTTTCCGCAAAAACTAATTTTTGTTGAGAAATATTTTGGCGGAAAATGTTTTTGCCAGAAAATTCATGTTACGAGTAAAATACACATAATAGTTTTATCCTTAACACATGCGCTTCCCGTCAGCCTTCTTGAGATTATAATTCAACAGCTTAATTGCCGGCATATGCCATGACTTCTCATATACCATGTGGAATGGGGTTGTCCCAATGGGAGTTTTGTAAGCAGTCCAGTATGACCAGAAAGCGTCGTCGAGTTTTCACGACCAATCTTTCCTTGAATTTTTTTACCGTCTTTTCCAAGATATCTTTTACTTCTCGGTTTGCTGCCTCAGCTTGGCCATTCATTTGACTGTGATATGGTGTGGCCACCTTGTGAGTTACGTCGTACTTTTTTAAACAGTCCTCCCAAAAATATGTTGACGAAATGTTTCCTGCCATCGTTGATCACTATTCGTGGTACACTGAATCTTGGAAAAATGGCATCTTTAAATAATTTCTTTGCCACCTGAGAATCATTCTTGGGACTAGCGACAGCTTCAAACTATTTGGACTAATAGTCAACAACGACCAAAATATACACATTTCCTTGAGATGGTGGGAAGGGTCCCATAAAATCTATTCCCCAACAATTGAAAAACTTCGATTTCCAGGATATACTATAGAGGCATTTTATTTCTTCTTTCGATGTTTCTCCTCCGTTGGCAAGCATCACAATTTGAAACAAATTTATTTGCACCATGAAAAAGTGTTGGCTATAAAAGACCAGCCTGTAAGACCTTCGAAACAGTTTTCAATGTAGCAAAGTGCCCGCCATAATCGAATCCGTGATAATGAAGGAGGATACCCTGCATTTCAGATTCAGCTACACATCGGCGATAAAGGCCGTCAGCACATTGCTTATAGAGGAATGGCTCGTCCCAATAATAATGCTTAATGTCACAAAGGAACTTCTTCTTTGCGTATCCTGAGAAATTTGGTGGTTCGATTTCGGCACGGATGTAGTTTGCGATCGGTTAGAATGGCTTCAAGTAACCGATCGGTTGAATCAGTAACCATATCCTCAGCACTTATCTTGTGGCTCTCCGTGAGCTGTTTCATCAATATCTCAAGAGGACTCTCCTGCGAAATTTCTTCAGCAGGTGGGGCTTGGAAAAGGGGTGAAAGGTTGTAGTGTTGAAACCTTGGTTGTGACTTGTTGTTTTCAAAGCATGTTCCCCTGCCTTGGAATTTCCCTGTAAAATTCTTTTATCCTTGAGGGTTTCCAATATTGTTTCCTATTCCAAAAAGATTGGGTTGATATTTGAAGCTTTGGTCGAAATCATGGTTTATCCGACAAAACTTATCTCTTCTTGTCTCCAAGCCCCCTATTTCCTTCTTGGTAGTTGTCAACATCCCAATAAATGCTCGATTACTTCTTAAGAAAGTTGACTATCTTCTTTAGCTTCTTGACCTCGTTAGTTTTCATGATGTTAGCAACCTCTCCCTTGGAGTCTTTGTGGCTGGGGAATGGTATTTGGACTTGCGGCAAGGTTGTTGATCAACTTGGTAGCCTCACTCACGGTGTTGGTGGTAAAATTTCCTTGACTTGTAGTGTCAAAAGCCAGCTGGTACTTCTCGTGAATACCGTGGTAGAAAATGTGCATAAGCGTGCTGAAACCGTGGTGTGAGCTTACTCTTTAATATCTACTGAATCGATCCCATGCCTCGTAGAAGGATTCTTGTCCTCCTTGTACAAAAGTGGAGATCTTATTCCTTATCGTAATGATCTGTCACTTGGGAAAGAAATCATTGAGGAACTGCCTTCTGCATTCAGCCTAGGTGGTGACTGATCAGGTAGGTAAGGGTCTTAATCATCCCATTGCTTTGTCTCCTGCAGAGAACTTAAACAGGGTAAGCTTTAGGTAGTCTTCAGGAACTCCGTTAGCTTTCGTCATGTTGCACAAGTCTTAAAATTGTTGTATTTAATCCATGGGATTCTCTATAAAATGATCATTGAAGAGGTGTTGCTTCATGAGCCCGATGATTTGAGGTTTGATCTCGTAATCAGCTTGAGGTATTGCTGGAGGTTGAATCGCGGCTCTGTTTGCATAGAAATTTTTGGGATTGTTGAATTCTCCAAATGTTCGCTCACATTCAACAATGTTATCTCATGAACCAATCGGTGCTGGATTGTTACCGATCGGTAGATTGATTGGCGTATTACCGATCGGTGGTTGTTGTTAACCGATCAGCATATTTGGAGGTTGTACACCAATCCCTGCTGCTCAGGGTTTGCAGGGTTTAACAAATTGGAATTTCCTTTTCGCCTTGTTTGCATTCACCTGAAACACATAGAAACAAGAGAAGGTTTTTAATTAGTAAATAGTATATAAAATAATAAAAAGTAAAAATCGTAGACCAAATTTAAATCAAAAATTTAGTGGCATTTGCTTTAATCCCTGGCAACGGCGCCAAAAACTTGTTACAAGTAAAATATACATAATAGTTTTATCTTTAATATAGACCACAAGTGCACATGCAATCACAGTTGTATTTAGGGATTGAATCCACAAAGATAAAAAAACACACAAAAGATTTGCAAAGACTAAAATTAAGCTAGGACAACAGGGAGTTACAAGAACTCAAGAAGGTTTTGCATAAATAAAATACATAATAAAAATAAGTAAATATAATATATACTCCCTCCGTTTCATAATATAAGTCGTTTTGGAGAAAAAATTTTGTTTCACAATATAAGTCGTTTTCAAGTTCTTATGTAAATTATATGTTATTTTGATATTTTATTATTATTTATATTATGCAGTCTTTTTTATGATTGGCTGAACTTTTTAAAAATAGATTTTCTTGATCTGCGTGCTTTTATCTAAAACGACTTAGATTATGAAACGAAGGGAGTATAATCTTATTATATAAAATATGGTTTTTAAAGTTAGTAACTCACCTGATCGTAACACGTAACACGTGTCAAACCTATCGATCTAGATTTTGCCATGTGTCAAATAAATATTTCCTTTTTAATAATTAAAAAAAGAAAAAGATAATTAAAATAAATTTGTAAATTTAACTTTTTTTAAATGTAAAAAGATAATTATAGATAAATTATACCTATATTTCCATAAGAGATTTTGCCATATAGCAAACAAAAATTTGGTTTTAACAAATTAAAAATTGTAAAAACTAATAATTAAAACAATTATAAATTTAAACAGTTTTAAAAATGAAAAATATTATTATAAGGAAACTATACATATATATATAAGGAAATTATAAAATTATGCTCAACGTTTTATTTATAAGTTAAGAAAAAGGATTAAAAAAATATAGAATCAGTTATTAATCCTATAAAAAAAGAATTGTAAATATTCACTTCTATATAAACAAATAGATTATCTTATATTTTCTCACCAAGCAAACTAATTTCTTCATAAACATCATTATTGCTTTAACTTCATCCTATTGGTAAAGTAGCATGTCATACTAAAGTAAATAAGAGTAGCATGTGATTATTAATGGAGGTGATGATGGTGGTGGTTGATGGAAAAAGTGACTTTAAAAATAACATGAATCATGTAAAAATTATTTATCATTTGTTAGAAATATATCATACTATTTATATAATAAAATAAAAATACTTTGAATCACAATGGTTTTCTAAAAATAGGATGTGATATTTAGATCCAAAGAATATATGGCGATGGATATAGACTAGAGTTGTTGTCGGAGAAATAAAATTAGTTGGGGAAAGAGAAAAAGAGGCGGTAATGGTGATAAATAGACCAATATTTATATTAGATGATTTAATAATTAGTATAACATAACTACAAATAGTATTTTATATTATACATTATGCATAATAAATCTATTTAAAAAATAACTAAAATACTGTATTTTCTAAAATTAAAACATATATGTTTATATAATATTAGTTAAGCTTATAAAAATGAAAAAATGATAATTTCGACTAGGCCTGGGCATATGGGTAACCCATTCGGGTTCGGGTAAAACCCGTTCGGATTTGGATAAAACCCATTCGGGTTCGGGTTAAATGGGTAATGAATTTACGATCCATTCGGGTATTTTTAGACATTCGGTTCCGGTCCGGTTCGGGTATCGCCGGGTTCGGGTCGGTCTGGGTAATAACTATGAGAACCGGAAAAACCCCGAAAAATTAGGGTCCCCATTGGGTTCGGGTCTAAATGGGTAAAATTACCCATAAACCCAAAATATGTCTCCATTACCCAAAAATTTAAACCGTTTTACATGCACAAACACCAAATAAAGAGAACTGAACATAAACATGACATTTAAATCCAACCCAAAGTCACAATGATTAATACTTAAGAGTTAAGAGTAGAGAAACCCGAATATGAATATGAAAACATAAATCCGATTATCCAAATATCCAAATATCAAAAACATTGAATTAGATAGAAATAGAAGTAGGATTGTAGCCTTGTTGGAAGTTGATAGATGGGTGATGACTCAAAAAATACCTCTCATAAGCTAATCTTCCACCATTATATAAGACTATATGACTATATCTATATACTTATATAAACACATATGTCTTCAGCTTCGGGTTTATGGGTACCCTATATGGGTAACGGTAAACCGCGACCTGAACCGATACCCACAGGTTGACCAATACACTACCCAATGAGATAATTTCTGAATACCCTAACTCGCCCCAACCCTTTTTTGGTCCGGGTATCGGGTCCGGTTTTTTTGCACAGGCCTAATTTCGACCAGCAACCCGTGCGTTGCACGGATCCATATCTAGTAATATAAGAAATAGAGTTTCAGAGAATTCATAAGAGAATACATGATAACATGTAATTTCGGTTATGACTAAGATATCCTTGAAATCAGATTTCTATTGTAAATTACCCTAATGGCCCTTCAGTGATAACTCTATGAAGGGACTACAAAGATCTATAAACCTTGGCTAAGCTTGTTCTAGGTAATCCAATCACGTCGTAAAAAATGAATCCATTAATAGATTCTATAAACTAATAACTACTCATGGCGAAGCTTGGTAAGAAGTTTGGCCTGATCCATCTCGTCAACACCATGGCTATGCTAGATGAATAAGATCATGGGCAGTAGGTAGTTAATCTTTATTCAATTTGAGGCTTTAAGAACAATTTAAAGGTAGATGATAAAGAGAGATCATAACAGATAAATACACTTACGTTTAGCATAATTCAATCTCTTTGGAGATCTCAACCGTTCGACAAAAGTGCATATCGACGCGGTACCGATCGGTGGAGTGCAATATTGATTGGTAAAACTCCATGATAGGACTACTTGCACATGATCAAGGTACATATGATCATTGTAGAAGAGATATCACGATTCCTAAAGGAGATCTACTAAAGGTTTTAGAAATAAAGCGTAAACAAAGAAAGAAGATGAAGAAAAGGAAGAACACCTTAAAACTATAAAATTGCAAAAGTAGAGCGTATCTCTGTGGCTACAGAATGCAAGAGTGTATATAGGGATTGGGACGCAGTCCTAGAAGAGAGGAAGAGGCGGTTGAAATAAAACCCATTGATTGGTAGACATGCCAACTGATCGCCGGTCCGCGTGTTTTTCCACTAGTCGGTGCAAATCTCTACCGAACCTCCTAATGGATCTTTTTTTATATACTTTGGCCCATTTCTTCCGTAGAATGCTCACTTCTGTTATGCATGTCCAAATTCCTATAAACACTTATTTACATCCAGAACGACTTGTTCCCGAATAAAAGACTCGATAAAACATATAAAAGAAAACTAGAAAATGTGTTAAAGATATCACTTAACAATTCACTTTTTCATTTTGTTGATTTTAATATTTTTCAAATAGGGGTAAAATGTTAATTAGAAATTTAAAAATTAAAAGAGGACAAGAGTGAAAATGGCCAAAAATGGTATTTTTGGAAAGAAGTATTAAAAGAGGGCATTTCTAACTATTTCTCTATAGGTAAATGAAAATAGTTTGATTGATATTATGAAAGAAAAGAATTTGATCCCATGCTAGTAGGTGTTTTGGGAGAGAAATGAAGCAAAATACATCAAGTGGAGAGAATGAAAAGTTTCTAGTTGATTGTCGATGCATAGCTGCAAAGAAGTGTTGGATGTTTGGCATTCGAAGGGGAAATTTCCACCGTTAGATCTTCCTCATATTTGGACATAATATAGTAGAGGATGTTAGCTTTCATATGCAAGTGGAATCGAGGAAATCCAACAGTACGATCATAAGTTATGGCCAATATGCCAATTTTTTATGGCGAAGAACCGATCAGTACGGAAGTATCTACTTAACCGATCGGTTGTGATTATCTAAAATTTCCTTTTTTCTGTTGTAAGGAACCGTCTCTCTTGTATATAAATACTTCATGTATTCTACCCATAGAAGCCTGTATTACATAACTGATCGGTACCGATTGACCTGCACTTTGGTCAATCGGATGGGATTCCCAAATAGATCGATTGTGTGTTAAAACTATATGTGTAATTTCTCTGTTATGATCTCTTCAAATCCCAAATTTCCTAAGTTCCACAAAATCCTCCTAAATATTTATTCCAATACACCCCCTTAGATTAATTAGGTCAATTCACATATTGCCTGGGATCTAATTCCTCAAACCACCAAAAGTTGTGTTGAATTGATGGATCTATTAAAAATAGGCAAAGCTTCTTTAACCACTACACTAGTTGATATTATTGCGTTTTGTGAATTTATTGGATTCTATTCTTAATGCTTAATTTGTTTGCTTAGAACAAGTCTCACAATAAGCTTATGGATATCTATGTTTTCATGTCATATGAGCTATCACTATTACACTTTTATGGTAGTCACAAAAGAAATTTGATATCACGAATCTTTTAGAGTCATATTCATATTTACACGTTTTTATATATTCTTTGATGAATTCATGATTCTGTATTTCTTATACTAGATGAATACCCATGCTACACGTGAATTTGTTTTGCAAATTATTAAGTAAAAATTATGTTAGTTGTTCTTGTTGCTAATTTATGTTTACTCTTTTATTTGTTGTGGTATAGTTAATAAAATTAGATCCATCTTATGTAGTTACAAATTTTGTGGTTAGATTTACTTTTGACTTGAAATATCAATTTATACATTTTCATGTATAAATCTGATTATTTATATTTCTAAGATCCTAATATTTTTTACCATCATGAATACATACAACAACAATATAGGATATTTTTATATAATTATATGTAATTATGTTATTTGTGTGGTCTGAAACTCGTCTAACTTGATAATAAATACAGTTTTTTGTTCTGTGTACTCTCGTGATCTAGTACTCCAACCAAAACGTGATAGACTCATTATTAAAGATTGGATAGACATAAATTGAACAAGATCTCAAGAGTTTTCATATGAAAAGAAAAAAAAGAAAGTAAATACTAAAGTGTCATTTAAGTCAACCCTTTTAGATCTTCTAACATTGCATATAGTCATATATGAGGAAATAGTCGTGCTTGAATTCTTTGGTATGACTAACGTCTCAAAGGCCCAGTATTTGAAAAAACTTGCATGTCAATGTTACTAACTTACCATAAGACACAAAAATAAACAGAGAGAAAATCATATGATAAGTCATATATAACCACAAGACGTAATAATGAGAAAGACTCAATGTAAAATTACTAAACTAATAAGAGGCTAGATAGAAAACAACTAAATTACAACAAAAATAAAGTTTTAGTCATTATTGAGTTGTGACCATTGATAAAAAAAATTATTAATAAAATAAGAAAAGTATAATGAAAGTAGTGTTTTTTTATTAACAGAATTTGTATATTTTTAAAATTTTGAAGAAATCACTTAAGAATAGAATTGATGGAGGATTTAATGTAATAAAAAACTTTTAATTTTTTCATTTAATTTGGCTAATTTGTTTATTTAAATAATATATAATGACATATGTCATTTTCTCGTGTGATGATGTGGCATTCATATGGAGAGAGTTGGCCAACTTGCATATATATGATTACATTATATGATATTATATTATGTTATATTTATTTATTTATTTTTGTAAAAATCACCTGAGTTTTTGTAATTCCATGTTGTTCTAGATAGGTTTTGATCTTTGCAAGTATTTTGTGTGTTCTTTTTGTTTCTGTGGATTCGATCCCTAAGTACTATTGTGTTTGCCTTTGTATTTGCGGTTATAATTAAGGGTAAAAATTTTATGAGTAAATTTTATTTGTAACAATTTTTTGGCGTTGTTGCTCTTTCTTTCCTCTTCGTTTTTTCTTTCCTCCAATCATTTATTTTTCTTTTATTTTTTTTATTTTTTTTACTTTACTAGAAATCTCAAATGGATGATTTTTCTTAATTGTTAAACTGATTGCTTTTAAAATTATGATATTTTGGATTCATTAAATTGGTCATATGTTTTGATCAAAATGCACTCGTTAAACCGTACAAAAATTTTGGTACATAGACATCGCGGGTTTGGTGTCATTCATGTAGAAAAACGAGAGAAGATATAAGTAATTTCATTTGTTCTCAATCTTCTACTTTAACACTCTATTTTTTTCTTAATTATTTCTCATACATATATAATATAATAATAATATTATATATATTTACGTTATATTTTATAACAGTTGCATATTAGCGAAGACCAAACTTAAAACTTAAAATGCCTTTGAATTTGATCAATCATTTTAGGAAACAAGAAACAAACTTTAATGGGCCCAGGGTCCAATAAACCAATTGGGTTTATTCCTCCTCCTCTTGTTGTCTTCCAATTTGGTATACAAAGACAAATTTAAACCTCTGAATTCAACCTTCTCGGCGAAGAAGAAGAAGAAGAGAAAATGGCGATTTGCATGTGTTGCGACTCACATCTCGTAGCGAAATCGATTATGAATCCATGGAATTCGCCAATAAGAACGAAGCTAGGTTTTGTACCAGTCGGTCGCCGCTTCCCGGCTACTACTACCGTCAAAGCTTCGGCGGTGGATTCACCTGAGAGTTCCTCTAATTTCGCCAAGCGTATGGATCAAGCTTGGATTATCTCACAGGTTCGTATCTCCCGAGATTTGTATAGAATTACTCATACTTGTTGCTACTTTGGTATGTATGATTTTGTTGGATCTGAGTAATCACAAGAACTTGCCTCGTATGGTTTTGTATTAGATTAAGAGGTAAATAGTATCAGCAAGTTCAGAAGATCTTGTATTGAGCTGTTCAATATCGAAAATCTGTAATTGCAAAGTACCTCTGGGATATTTTACCAAACATTTTGGTCACAATTCATTTGATTTGTGATATATGATGACAACACGTTAGCTGCGGTCTATCTTCTTAGTGATGAGGGGTAAGCTGACTAATATCGCAACGCGATGTAGTTATGTAGTCTTGCTTCTACAATTGTTGGATTATCTACTTATACTCTAATATTTCTCTCAAGGAATCAATCAAATGTTAAGATTTTGAAACCTTTCTTTTAGAATTTTCAGTTTCGTCAATGTTTACGTTTGAACTCATGTGCCGTTCTTTACAGATCAGTAAATCGGTCCTGTATTTTTCTAGATGTTACTTGACCTGCGGTTCGATTCAATGATTTTCTTTGTTAGCAACCAAGTCCCGTTGGATGTTCATCGTGCAATTCAAAGGGTCATGTTGAATGCAAATGGTGTGCGGGTACAGGATTCTTCATCCTTGGTGATAACATGCTTTGCCAGGTACCCTCAAGGAATACTTCTTGCGTCATCTGCTCCGGACAGGTTTGTTATCGAATAAGTGCAGACACATATTTGTTGTGTCTTCTGAGTTATATATCTTCACAAGTATGAACATTCAATTCTTTCAATGGATTTAGGGTTCTGCTAGCTGTAGCGATTGCAAAGGAACGGGATTTCGTGCCAAGTGGTTGGAAAAGCCTCCAGTGCCGACATAACTGATGAAGAAAAGCAAGTTAAGTTTTTTTGGTCTTTGATGATTTCTTATTGTCCAAAAATGTTTATAATGATTCAAGTGGAATATGAATTATTCATGTCTTATGTATATAATGTGTCAATGTATGTTCATTTATTCATTTCCCATTGCTCTCTTTGTACAACCAAAGGCTACACAAGAGTTCTTGTAATACACGTGAGTTTTACGATTTCGATCATTAGAGTAGCTCAACGGAAGAACATTAGTAGCACCGGATCGCCTTAGTATTTCTTTTGATCTTTTTCATGTGGTAGGGTTAAATCATGTGTATCTTCCTTACACTCGTTAAATCTGGATGTGGTGTTTCTGTAATAGAACTACGATAATCATCATTCTAAAAACAATTTCTACCTAACAAATCCAACCTAAGCTAGTTAGTTTAGAAACTGTTTTTAGATTAGTTTTCTTTCGGGAAACCATGTAAATGGGCATTTGATGTCATAATCGTAAATAAGAGATTCTTTAAATTTTACACAATTAGATGCATTTTTTCTTTCTATGATCCAATTTTTCTATATCAATTTGTGTTTTATATATATCCTATACTAATATTTGGGAAGTACATCCTAAGGATCATAACTTGATTTTGTAAGAAATTACAATATATGCCATTAGAGAATTCTAATCATAAAATTTTATTCCATGTCACTAATATATATTAACGGGTCAACGGGTCAACGGGTCAACGGGTCAACGGGTTTAAAGATATTAAAAGATTTTGTTTATATAATTCATATATTTTTCGATAATAACTATATTACACAATTAATATAATTCAAAATTGTTATATACTAATCAATTCGAAAATGTAACACAATTAGTAAAAATGTTGTATACTAATATATAATTCGAAAATGTGACACAAAAATGTTATTGAAAATGTTAATGAAAATGATATATCATTGAAAACATTTTATATCAATTGACTTTATAAAAATGCTATTTTGAATTATAATACTCATATAGTTCGAAAATGTTATATACTAATCCATTATTTGAAAATGAAAATGTTATCCTATACTATTATTTGGGAAGTACATCATATAAGTCGTAACGTTGATTTTATAAGAAATTACAATATATGCCATTAGAGATCTCTAATCATAATCATTTTAATTCTATGTCACTAATATTCATCAATTCATTAAAAACGGGTCAATGGGTCAAACGGATTTAAAAGTATTATTGAGATTACCTAATATATAGGAGGTCAATCACGAATATAACAAACATGGATTTTGTTTAGATACAAATAATTTTTAATCATACAACGAAATTTAGTTTAGATTTTAAAATATTTCCTTAACTAAACTATACTAATTAATTATGATTAATATATATGGAAGAAAAAAACGAAATTATAAATATGTAAACTAATTAAATTTGATAATATATTAATAGATATTTCCAAAATCTTTATATCGGGATTGTCTCAAAATTTTTGTCTATGTGTATTTCGCAGATTGGCAAAGATAAATACATATAGAAATGATATTTTTAATTTACTAAATCAGAAATAAATATAGCATCCTAAATCTTAGTACTTGCCATAACAATTGTATATTTATTCGAATAGATTCAAAACGAAAATTCAAATCCCTTGTATTAAGCAACTACAACAAACACCAATAAAAAAGTCAACAAAATATTCGAATTTTCCTAAAATATAGTTATAAAATCTAAAATCTTTCAAAAATTGTTAACCACGTAGAGATTTTGTAATTAAGGAACAAAAATTTATTTTTGAACATAATTTTCAAAACAGTTAATACAATCTTCAAAACGGATCTTATATATATTCAATTTGCATTAAATCTTAATTTAAAAAAGATATGATCATATCAAACCTAAATTGTGATAATGATTAGCCGACTCTCTTCTTAGCTTATAAATAGATAATATATGATCCGGCTAAATCATTCACAAATCACAAAATTTATTCTAGCAGCCATTTTTGAAATCTTTCACGCTTTTTTTTTCTAATGTTCTTTATCTTAGAAATTGTTTTCCACAATAGTCTACCTTGTGATTGTAGGATTTCAAAATTCAGAATGGAGTGAAGAAAGAATATGTCGAACACTAACAGAGGTTTGTGATAAAAGCAAATTTGAAAATCAAGAAAAATTATGTTTCTGATTTACAAGTGTTTTTTTATTACAGATTGAAGAGGCATCGACATCTGCTATCAAAAACTTAGTTGGGAAGAATTTTTCAATCATTTCTTTTTGATGAAAAGGATAAAATCTGCAGTGGGCATCAGTTGCTTAAGCAAGAGTTGAATATTTTTGTTGTATATACTTTATCCTTAAACGTGAATATTTTGTAGTATACTTTTTTGTAATAAATCAGTTTACTTTTTTAAATTCAGAAAATCATACTCTAATTATGTTAATAAATCATATTACTTTTTTAAAAATTCAGAAAAACATCTCATTAAAATTGTTGACAATTTGATTTCACTTACCTTATAGATGTGAAGATTTTCAAAACCGGCTGTTGCATCCGATTCAAGACTTATTCATTCTAGAAGTCATATACTACTGAACTAGGAGAGCATGCAAATGATCTGAGAAGATGAACAGTGAGTTTTTTTTTTATTATCATACTTTTAAACAAATAATGAGATTTTTTTTTTTTTTTTTGAGTGATCGAGTTTATAACTAGCAAATTCTTATTCAATATTTAATCTCATTATATAATCTAATTATTTACATCCTATAATATTATTTAGGAAGTACATCCATTATGATTTTGTAAGAAATTATAATATTTGCCATTATAGATCTCTAATCATAATCATTTTAATTCATGTCACTAATATTAATCAATTCATTAAAAAACGGGTCAATGGGTCAAACGGTTAAAGTATTTATGATATTTAAATTCTATAAAAAGTATAATATTAATAATATTTGGACTCTATAAAATTTAAAAATATATATATTATGGAAACAATTTAAAAGCAAACTTTTAAATTGACTCAAATTATATGTATTTTAAATAAAAGTATTATTAAAAAGAAAAATAATACTTTTAAACAAATAATGAGATTTTTTTTTTTTTTTTGAGTGATCGAGTTTATAACTAGCAAATTCTTATTCAATATTTAATCTCATTATATAATCTAATTATTTACATCCTATAATATTATTTAGGAAGTACATCCATTATGATTTTGTAAGAAATTATAATATTTGCCATTATAGATCTCTAATCATAATCATTTTAATTCATGTCACTAATATTAATCAATTCATTAAAAAACGGGTCAATGGGTCAAACGGTTAAAGTATTTATGATATTTAAATTCTATAAAAAGTATAATATTAATAATATTTGGACTCTATAAAATTTAAAAATATATATATTATGGAAACAATTTAAAAGCAAACTTTTAAATTGACTCAAATTATATGTATTTTAAATAAAAGTATTATTAAAAAGAAAAATAACAAAATGATGTTTAATTTCACGGAACGGAGTTATATGGTGGGACGGGTTTGTGTCGATATTAATACGGGACAATATATATATGACGGGTGAAATCCTAAAATTAATAATCAAAATAATCTTAAATACTTAACAAAATAAATAATATTAAAAATACAAATAAAAAATTAATTTTTAAGTTAAATAAATCAACCCGAGGAATACCGCAAGGTAAAATCTGGTGATACTGGGCCAAATACAGTTAGAACTGAGCAAACAAATCCCAATAGAGCCCACGTAAAAACTTCAACACAATACAAATATTTTTTTTCATTCTCAATGACACAATTCAATTATGAATACCTAATTGAACCAAATAAATTGTTCATCTCATATAAACAAAAATAGAATTTTAATGCAGCTAAATATATTTTATATACAATACAATATTCTCTCTTTCTTTATTACCAAGTCATGTTTTTCAACCAAGTTAGATTAAAACAATATTTAATTCCTATAATAAAATAGTCCAATATGATATGGAATATAGATTTAAAATTTATTATCTATATTATTATTTAGTTCTACAAACAAAATATACAACCATCGTCAAATGAAATATACAACATTATATCCAAATAATAATAAAAATAAAATATTATGATATATTCCCTTTTATACTATACTATTATATTATATTATTATTTAATTCTTCAAACAAAATATACAATTTGATTTACACAAAATATTAAATCCCGTGCTGTATAGCACGGGTCATGATCTAGTACTGTATATCTTTGTATAACAATGTAACTAAATTTAGTTTTGAAGGAGTATAGAAACAATTGTAATCGGATAGAATCTCATATCTGGTATTGAAAAGTAACTTATGCATTGTAATTTATTAATCTTTTGTTACTATAGTAATGGAAAATGGAAAACCTTCTTTTAAATAGTACAAGATTGAGCTCAACAAGAAGATTTTCTAGATGCTTGATATAATCGAAATATCGAATACAACAATTGAGAAAATAAAATATTGTTTCTACTTCTCAAAATGATGTTCTCGGAAGCCAAAAAAAAAAAGGATTATTTTCATGATCTCCTCTCTAATTATATTGTAGATGGGGTATTATGTGAGCAATGTCATTCACGAAGCACGCATAACCATTTGACTCTTTGATTACACGATCTAGGGAACATTAAACCATAGTTAAAATTCTAATTTCGATTGGACAATTTGAATTTGCTTCGTTCCTATTGGGATTAATTTGTGTTTTTTTTAACCTTTATAGATTGTGATATATACCTTTTAATCTCTTAAATAAAGCGAAAAAAACTCATGGAAATACATATTTGCTCAGTTATTTGGGTAATAAACAAAGATATGTGACTTTGAGTCAATAAGAACCAGCCGCTACCACATAAGTCTTTTGTTTGTTTGTTTTTTTTTGGGGTCAAAATATTAATAGTTAAGTCTATTAAAAAGTCTAGTCACGTTTTTATTTAAGCTATAAAGAACAATTCAATTAAAAAAAAGGTAGTGTTTCACGACTTCGAATATTTTCTTGTTTTTTTTGTGCAAGTCTGTAATCAGACTAAAATATCATTAATTTCGTCGTGTATAGTCTTAAAGGATTAAAATATTGATTGCTGCATGTGGAATGTGTTGATGGAGTATTCATTAATTTTATGGTCTTCGTTTTCGTAGTCTTCTTGCGACCCTTTACTTTAAATCCTTTATAAAGGAGTCGACTAAAATGATATATACCAACAACACAAAGTTTGTACTCACAACCAAAAGAAGAATTCAAACGCAAGACAGAAAGATCAATGGCAAGCAACGGTAATGACAACTGCAACGCCAACGCCAAGGTTTGGCGGTTCAAAGGAAACGGTGCAACGAGTGATGCGGCGGCAGTGACGTTGAGAAAGCTTGCTTTTGGGATGTTCAAAAACTGCACCATGAACAGCGGAAAGACCATTTTGTTCCCAACTCCAGGAGAGCCCTCCGCTCATCCCAACTTCAGGACTTGCCCCGAAGCTGAGGAAGCTGTGGCTGCAGCCGCACACTCCGGCATGGCTGACTCTTACGCACCCAGCCCCGGAGTTTTCAAGGCTAGAAGGTCTGCTTTGAAAATTGAAAGCTATTAAAATTTAGATTTTACAATGACCAATCATTTTTAAAAAATTTCATAAGTTAGGACCGAAACTTTTGACCTCATCAGTTTTTTTGCTAAGAATGTAAATATTTCATAAAAATGAACTCATCAGTTATTTCCCGTTTTTTTTATGTCAGGGCGGTGGCTGATTATTTAAACGGAGAGCTTCCAACGAAGCTGAAGCCAGAGGATGTGTATATCACCGGAGGATGTAACCAAGCCATAGAGATTGTAATAGATTCTCTTGCCGGAAATCCAGCCGCCAACATTCTACTTCCAAGGCCGGGCTATCCTCACTACGATGCTCGTGCTGTCTATAGCGGCCTTGAGATTCGCAAATACGATCTTCTCCCTGAGAGTGATTGGGAAATCGATCTCGATGGACTCGAGGCTGCTGCGGATGAGAATACCGTCGCAATGGTTATCATCAACCCCAACAATCCATGTGGAAACGTTTACACCTACGACCATCTCAATAAGGTATAAATTTTTCCTCACATATATATATATATATATATATATATATATATAGAGATTATTAATGTAAAACAACTAACGTTTTTGGTATGTATCGATCAATCTTTAGGTTGCGGAGATGGCTAGGAAACTCGGGATAATGGTGATATCCGACGAAGTATACGATCGTGTTGTATATGGAGACATGCCTTTTATTCCCATGGGGAAGTTTGCATCAATAGCTCCGGTAATCACGCTCGGATCCATATCCAAAGGGTGGGTCGCCCCGGGCTGGAGAGTCGGCTGGATCGCCATGAACGATCCTAATGGTATCTTTATATCTACAGGGGTTAGTCAACTTTTAACCCGGCCCTATAGTGTTTATAGTAATAATCGTGCACTAATTGAGAAGAGGCTAATTAATATTTGGGCCTTTTTTTCACAACAGGTAGTTCAAGCAATAGAGGATTTTCTTGATTTAACTCCACAACCTTCATTTATTCTTCAGGTTTGTAGTCTCACACTATCAACAACACATGTCATCATAAGCTATAAGCTTTGATTCTCTAAATAATTTTTTATATATGGGTTTTTGTAGGAAGCACTTCCTGATATATTGGAGAAAACACCTAAAGAATTCTTCGACAAGAAGATCAAAGCCATGAGGCGCAACGTCGAGCTTTCATGTGAGAGGCTCAAGGACATTCCTTGTTTCTTTTGTCCCAAGAAACCCGAATCTTGTTCTTATTTATGGGTACTTTCTTTTTCTTGGTTTCTAGTGTTTTTTTTTTGTTATTGGATTCTCCATTTTTTTTTTATGATAATAACATATTTCTTATCGATATACATATAACTGATTAGCGTAAACGATTTATTTTACAGTTGAAGCTTGACACATCAATGTTGGACAATATCAAAAATGATTTTGATTTCTGCACGAAGCTAGTTAGTGAGGAGAGTCTTATCCTTATACCAGGTATTGATCTCTTTAACAATATATATCTTAAGAATTAGGCACTCCCATAATCATCTTCTTAAATATGATTTTAATTTATAATTTTAGTCGTTAACTATGATCAATTTTTCTGGTTTACTTCTACTTATAATTATTTTTTGTTGGAACTTTGTAGGAGTGGCTCTAGGGGCAGAGAATTGGGTGAGGATATCGATCGGAACCGATGAATCAGTGGTAGAAGAAATATTTGACAGACTAAAAGGTTTCTATGATCGTCATGCCATCTCCAAGGAAGCTATCAAACTTAATGGTCATGCCATTAATCAAATCGTCGTCTCTGTCGTCTGATTGAAGTTGTCTTATACCACAAGTCCACATTAGAGTTTATGTGTACTTCCATAATTATCAGGAACACAATCAAGAGAAAACAGCATTGGATAATGAAATAAAGATGTGTGAAATATAAAATAATACTGGTTTTCATTATTATATTATTTCTTCTATTTTAAAATCACTGAGTAAAAAAAATTTCAACATAGTTTGATACAATGACTAAAACATTTCTTACAGTGTTAGTATTATGAACTCACTGAAACTATTATCTATGTAAACATAGCGGTTATGGTTTGACTGCAATGCAGTAATCATGGCAGTAGAATCCTTTGTCTCCACGCCGAAAGCGAATTCATTGGCTAGAGATATTGCTCAAAGTGTTACGAGAGATAGGCGTTTCAACTCATACCTAGCAATGAGAGGTCAAGCCTGGCTTCATAACCGCATTGAGGTGGTTTGGAGTGATTATGCTCTGTTTTTGGTTGTATTACCTGATTTGTTATCTTTTTTCATTAATTTCATGAGACGTTAAAAAAAAACCTCTAACAAGCGATGAAACTCTAATCTGTCAGTTTTTGAAATCATAATTTTTAGCTATATATATCCATTTAACATATAATCTACCATTCAAGTAGTTCAACCTGATAAACATTAATAAAGATTTGATCCCTTGACAAGTTGACATGAATCCATTTATCATATTATCTCTATGGTGCTAAAGAAACAAAAATAATTTGAAGAAAGAAAATACAGCTAGCAAGATACTAGCCTACAAGTTATTTGATTCATTTTTCTTTCTATTGCTACCAAAAAAAAAATCACAAAAACCAAAAGCATTTGTGATCAGAAACAACCATTTCCGTTGGCATAATAAATACTTGAGAGACCAGAAGACATGTTCATGTAAGGAGGAGCCGTCACTTTGTTGTCCAAGAAACCAAAAACATCGTCTTTCGCCTCATTAAACGACGCCATATTTGTCACAACCGTCTTCCTCAACTCCTCCAATGCATATTTCATTTCTTGTAACTGAACCAAATTCATCTCCTCTACTGGCTTTTCCCACCAATTGATCACCGACCGCCTCACACTCTCTTTTCTCATTTCTTCCATAGCTTGACCTTTCTTCTTCTCTTCCTCTACCTCGCTCAAAATATGCGTTAACTGCATATTCAGCTCGCAGCTCGCTGCAGGGCTTCCTTGCGGTTGCTGCGTCTGAACTAAGGACATATTGTTTCGAGACATGTAACGATCCAATACAGATTCGACACTCGGATGTCCGAATGAGAAAGGCTTTTTCGCGGGAGAGAACACGATGATCCCAATCTCTGCACCACACAACGTGCAAAGCTCACTAGCTTTCTTGAAGAGACCAGCTCTGCGTTTCGAGAATGTGACTTGCCGGTGGCTCTCTTTCTTTATTTTCACCATTGGAATTTTTTGTCGTCCGATGCTTTCTTTCTTCTTCGACATCATAGTTTTTCTTATAGCGGTTCTTAGTTGCTTTTCTTTGTTGGAATATTTGGTGGAGAGGAAGGTTGTTTATATATACATGTTGGAACCTAGTGTGGCATTATTATGAGATCCAGTTGCAATGTTGGTAATTTATTTTTATTTTTGTAACATCCCTTTGTAATTAGTGGTTTTGTCTTTAATTTTGTGGATAGATAATAAAATACCAAGATTTGTGTAAGTTATAGAAATCTTAATTTGGTAATGCAATGATTTTTTTCTTTACTTTTTATAATTGTCTTATGTATAAATGAATGATTGTCCTAATGAGTTAATCTTTATGTTACAAAAAAGGTTATCCTAATGACTGAGTTTAGCGTGGCATTATTATGAGATCAACTTGCAAAGTTGGTAATATGTTTTCGTATTTGTAACAACCATTTGCAATTACTGGTTTTGTCTTTAATTTTGTGGATAGATATTAAAATACAAAGATTTTTTTTTCTTTTTTCTTTTTTTTTTTAAATACCAAGATTTTTGTAAGTTATAAATTTTTAATTTGGAAATGCAATAATTTCCTTACTTTATATTAATTTATCTTGTGTATAAATGGACGATTGTCCTAATAAGTGAGTTTTTTTTGTTACAAAAAAGGTTGCAAATCAAAACGTAAACACATGTTAAAGTATTATGCAAATCAATATACAGTATTGTTTCAAGTAATTAATATATTTTCTTGTTTTTCGTTTTCATAAACATATGTATACACAATAATGTAACGGGACCTCCCAACCAAAAAATAAAAATAATGTAATTGGACCTTACAAGCATAGGCTTTTCAAGTCTACCACACAAAAGCCTCAATATCAAGTCTACCAAAACAAAACCCTTACAAGTTACAACCAAGAATGATCTAATTACAAACCAAGAGGGCAATAACTTTAACTAAGAAAGTGAAAACTAAGGTTTTCAACCAAGGGCTCAAGAGAACTACAATTCTCAACCCCAATCAACCTTATCGTCTTTGCCACACGATCGAGAGAACAAACCTGAGGAAATGAGTCAAACGATCCAATTCAATTACTGGTCGGACATTCAAAAACCACATTAAACATGACAATGAGATTTGAAAGTTTGGATACAGGATACTAATTAACAAAATCTTAGTGAGAGGGTAGAAGGCATTGCTTATCACGCGTAAAGGACTCTAGAGATGCAATTTGGTCAAACAACCTTTGTTAAGGTAATATTACAACATCATCAACATGATAATTTCGGAAGGAGCTTACTACATACCAAAAGAAGATTAATACTACCCTCTTACTAAACCAACGTGGGTTGGGCTAGTGGTACTTGAGGGGGTAATCCCAATATGGTGCCCGCAGTTCGATTCCCGTTGGCCACCGAGGTTTTCACCTGGCCCCCTCGGGCCTCCAGGAAACACACTGAGCGTTGGGCTCGGACGGCCCGACAGGGAACCGGCCTCAAGCCTTGGTGCTAGTCGGGTTTCGGTCCGGATACCTGGATTATCAAAAAAAAAAAAAAAGAAGATTAATACATATGATGGTACAATTATACTTCACCAATTACACCATGTCGGGTGGACATTTTTAACAAAACTGAACAAAAACTAAACCAAACCACCCCAACTCAAACCAACCAGAACCAAACCGTTGTCTATGCAAACACATTTGGTTAACATTTGTTTTTCTATTGGAATGGTTCAATTTGGTTTGGTTTGGTTCATTTCGGTTTGTTTTAGGTATAGATATTAATTTAGTTGAATTTATTTTTTGCCCAAAAGAAGTAATGTAATGAACACTAATATCTATAACTTAGATAATTGTCACTTTAAGTAATTCTCTCTTTTATATGTATATATATATATGACATTCATATATATATATAATTGATCCAAGAATTATTTAATTTTAGAGTTTTTTAAATTTTTTTATTTTTTCTTGCTTCGATGAGTTTTTTTTTTTTTGAAGAAAGACTTGCTTCGATGAGTTAGTAGCCTATTATTATCTATCTATCTTTTTTTCTTTGCCTAATCCACCTTAATAAAACTCAAAGAACTTGAATTTATGATCTATATTGTCTTAGATATTTCACTAACATATTGATTTACAATGTTGAATTTTGCAAGAGGAAAATAATAAAGATCATTTAAATAAACTTTTTAGATCCTATCAAAAAATAAACTTTTAGAAAATACACAAAACTTAAATCTTTAGGATATCAACTCCACCCCAAACTGAATTGAAACAAACCGAACTAGACCGAACAAAAACAAAAATATTTAACTAAAATTTAACCAAAACCAAATCAAATTGATCCGAAGCGAATGCAAACCAAACCCAAAAGCCACATAAAATAAAAATAATGGAAAAAGATAAAAAGAAAAATATAAATTGTGAAACCCGGTTAAGTTTCCGGGTCGGTCCAGAACCCAAGAAGTTTTCTTTCTTCTTCCTCTCTCGTCTCCTCCTCCTCCGCGGGAGACTCTAGAATCATCTTCCCATGGCGAGCGAAGAAAATAAAGCCCTGGAAGATCTTCTTGACATTCAGCTACAAGAACAAAAAGAATCTCTTTCCGCCATTGACGAAGCCCTAATCTCTGACCCATCTAATCCCGAACTCCTCTCGGTAAATTTCCCTCTCTGAAATCAGATCCCCAAATTTCCTGGAGAACTACGATTTCACAATTTTTGTGATTGCTCTTTGTCTTTTGTGTTGATAATCTCATTCTTAGAGTAGCTAGAGGTGAAAATCTTGATGTTTCATTATCAGCAATTTGTGTTCTTAATCTCTATGTTGTGGTGGTTTTGTATCTTTTAAGGTTCATGAAGAACTTCTCAGTGCGATCAAAGAGGTAGAGGAAGGGCTTTTGCACTTAAAACGAGCTCGGTTATTGCAGGAAGCTGATATAGTGTTGAATGGTCTAAATCATGATGCCAGAGTTAAAGATTTGGATGAATTGGAGCCAGAGAAAAAGGATTTGGATGGATCGAAATGTAGGTTTCGACATACCGATGGTCGTTGGTATAATGGTCGTATTATCGGATTTGAAGGTTCTGATTCTGCAAAGATCTCTTTCCTTACACCAACATCTGAGAGTATGATGGTGAGTTCTTTCTAGTCATTAGCTAGGGTGGCTAGAGTTTATTGAAAGCCTCAGTTTTGCTTGTCTATGTAGCTGGATTAGGTTTTGCTATAGGCATAATGGCTATGAAAGAGTAACTGTGAGACGGTTACTGCTGGCATTTTTTGCAATTGCTGTTTTGTGTCTTAGATACTAACGTTGCACCACACTTGTGCAGATTTGCAAGTTTTTCACGCAGCAGAGGTGTCGGTATGGCAGTTCCTGTCGTTCATCACATGGTATGTGATCATCATATTTATCATTATCATTTGTTTATTATATATTCATACCTTCACCACATTAGAAGTTAGATGTGTGGCCGGTTTGTCGTTCTGGTTGTTAACTGCAAGACATTGTTGCAGGACTAGATGTGCCGATATCTTCTCTGAAGAATTATGAACAGACTGAGTGGAAGCAATCGATGGTAGGCTCTAAAATTTGGGCAGTTTCTGGCAGTAAGTTCGATATATGGAGAAAGGCTGAACTTGAATCATGGGATGATGAGTTACAAGTAGGCGGAGTTGTTTTCATAGATGATAGAAGCTCCGCGAAGCTAGGATCTGATGCTTTGGCATTATCAGAGTTCGCTCAGATGACTGATGATGATGGGGAAGAGGAGGACGAGGAGGATGAAGAACTGAGTGCTTCAGATACTGAAGATTCTGTTTCAAGTGATTATGATGAAGAGTCTCCACAAGGCATAGGTTTTCTAGAAAGCACAAATCTACCGAGAGGCGTCCAAACTGACACCGCCTTATTTGCTAAGTGGGAGAATCACACTAGAGGAATAGCTTCAAAGATGATGGCAAGTATGGGTTACCGTGAAGGGATGGGTCTTGGTGTCTCTGGCCAAGGGATATTAAATCCCATCTTAGTAAAAGTACTTCCTGCAAAGCGGTCACTGGATTATGCTCTTGAGCACATTAGGAATGGAGAATGTAAAAGCGACAAACAAAAGAAGAAAAGGAGCAGAGGTGGGAAAAGGAAGCGTGGGAAGAAGTTTGCAGAAGCAGCTAAAGCAGCGAAACAGGAAGAGGAATCGAAGCCAGATTTGTTTAGCTTAATCAACGAACAAATTTTCCCTACTCACCATGAGAAAGTAAACAGCATAGAGTCTGTAAAAAAGAGGGAAAACAAAAGTCCAGTAGACAGGAAAGATTTGGTTGCATACCAAGACGAAGTCAAAGACTTGAAGTTAGAAGTCATGAAACTAGAACAGATGGTGAACAGAAACAAGAAAGATCAAGTTGTTTCAGAGGCTGCGACGAGAAGATTGAAAGAAGTCCGAAAGGCATTGGCAAGTACATTAGCATCTCAAGAAGCTGCCTCAAATGCTGTAGTAAGCAAAGAGAAAGAGAAGAAATGGCTCAAGTTTTAGAACATAGAACCTTATTTCAGTTTAACAGAAATTTCACTGCTAAACTGTAAGATTGATGGCAAACACTTGAACCTTCTGAATTATAATTGCGTTTACAAGCAAAAAGATATTTCATGAAATACATATTGTAGGAAGAAGATGAGACATGCCAATACACATTTTCATAGTCTTCTGTGTGTTCTAATGAAGTTATTGGTGTTTAGATTTATAGCTCTTAAGCAGGCATAAGCTGCAGCCGAGCACAATGCTGCCGAACCTAACAGGACAGCCTTCCAATGTCTACTAACCACCAGAATGGCCAAAGTCGTCAAAGCCACTGCCGTGGCAGAGAGGATATTTTTCCAGAGCTCAAAAGATTTGATCACATTGCTGCAGCTTCTACAATGAATAATATGTCTGAAGTACCGGTTAGCCAAATTGGGAGCGTGCATAGTCCCAATTCCGCCTTTTGCAGGGTAAGAAGCCGAGAGAGCTGCAATGAGCCCTGCAGGTGCATGTTCCACTACAGGAGGGACCTTGGGGAGAGATATGGTCCTATGCCCGAAATGGTAAGGCATCCCGTGACCAACTTTGTCCATCCACTTTCTATACTCAGCGACCCATGTGTCCGATGACTTTAGATTTAAATACAAGTCCTTAGTTGGTACTTTCTCCTTCATCAGAACCTCGTTTTGAGACGATAGAAACCCCATGTCTTGTTCAAAAACCTTGCAGGCATTCTGATGCCAGAACCATTGAGGTAACACCGAAACCAAAGGCGATCTTTTTGTGACCCCAAACCTAACAATAAGCATAGACTTCCCTTGCCCTGTAGGTCTACAAAGAAACAGCCCTGAAAAATAGTTCTTCACTCCATCCTTCCCCTCAAACTCTCGATTATTCTGCAGAACACAAGGAGCATCAAACCGAAGTAAATTACTCCCTTTCCCTCCGTCTTTCTCTCGACCCCAAGTCCCTGCGAAACCCCGATTACTTCTCTCTGTAACCTCAAAAACCAGAGGCTGAGCATCTTCTCTTTTAGCAGTGAAGTCAGTTCTATCATGAGAAATAGGAACATGAGCAGGATCCATCAGATTCTCAAGAAGAATGGAATGATCATAAGGAAGCTCATGAGTAGTCGAAATGTCGAAAAAACCGGGTCTAGCGAAATTCTCAAACCAAGGAAGCTTTTCAGGGTTTGGAGGTGTCTTTGTTGACATCCACACCCATACAACCCCCTGTGAATCTTTCACCTCATATGTCTTCACACAAGCCGCCTTCGGAATCTTAGCACTCGCAGGAAGCTGTTAAAAGAAAACCCAAAACCAGTAAGTTTAAGAGTGAGGACAAATTCTCTAAATAGCAAAATCAGTAAAACAAAGAACCTGAGGAATCTTGACACATTTACCCTCTCCTTCAAATTGCCAACCATGATACAAACATTCCAATCTTCCATCAATCAATTGTCCTTCAGACAACTTAGCCAAACTAAAAAAAAAAAAGACAAAACTCAATTTCAGATTCCTAAACAAAAAAAAAACTAGTGGTTGTGGTTTTGCTAGATGATGATATCTTACCGATGAGGACAGCGATCTTCGTAACAACGAAGTGTTCCTTCACCGTCTTTATACAAAACTATTTGACGATCGTAGACGGTGAGACCAAGCGGCGCATCGTCAGGGACGTTTTTAGTGAGGTACAATGGGTACCATTCCTCTGTCCAATCATAATCCGCTACCTCAACACGTTTCTCTTCTTCAGGGTTTAAAAGAACCTCTCCTCCTCCTTCTGTTTGATCAGCAACGGCGGTTCCAGCGACGGCGGAACGGCGGAGGAGACGTAGACGGGGTTTTGTGGGTACTGTGCATGTTGTTGTTCTGTGGTTGTGGATTATTGGTGGTGTTAGTTTAGTGAAGAGAATCGGAGAAGTGGGTGTGAGTTGAAGAGAAGAGCTTAGAAAAGGAACAGCCATGGAGGAGTCTTTTATTATAGAAATCGATGACAATGTTTTAAGTGTTTGCTTCTTCTTCTACTAAAATAGATCACAAGGTTGCTTGTTCAACCATTGGACCTTGCTCCACCACATGTACATAGATAGTAGAAACTTTTGACCAAACGATGTCGTTTTACTTCTTCAATACAGAAAATAAAAACTGAAAATTTTGAAAATATCTTTATTTTTCTTTTTTTTCTTACCAGGAGCATCTCAGACCAAAAACCTAGACTAAACAGCACTCGGGACCCATAAGATTCAGGTTTTTTTACCATTTTGGTGATAAAATTAGGATGTGGCAAATAATGAGTTTGTCGTGATATTTTCATCCCCTATTGGATTTATTGTTATGTTATATATAATATATCTTTTGATAAACCACTAAATCAACATAGAGAACCACTTTTGATAAGCTTCATATTTGAAAGATTTTAGATCAAGATCTGAATTTGGGATTTCTTCTCTCAAAGCAAATTAAAAACCTGTCTTTCATAAAATAGATGCAGAGATTTTTACTTTATGTTAAAGTGGCCATTTAAGTTTAGGCTAACTAAAGAATAGTCCTAATACATGTCTGACTCCAAAATTATTCTTACTAGGATCATTTTGATAGTATAGATGATCATTTTGTGTTTGGTAGTAGATAAACTGTCATCAAAAAAGAACATTTCATAAATTGATGAAATCTTTGATTTAATGGTAAAAAAAAAACCAAAAAGAAGATTTTGTACTTGTGTTGACAGCAAAGCAAAAAAAAAAAAAAACAAGATTTTGTACTTCAATTACCATGTCTTTTATTCTTAAAGTAAACATATTGAAGATTTATTTACCCGCATGCATAGATATACATTAGACAATTAGAGATGAAATTATTATTGATTTAGTTTAAAATCTGCTATGAAAGAAATTAAAAAAAAAAACGATTACTCAAATAAAATTTGATATTTTATGTAATAAGCATTATAAAACAAAAAAACAATAAGTTACCTTCATCTTAATTTAGAAACATTGATTAATTTTGTCTACCTCGTTGATAATATAATGGCTCTGTGTGTTATTTGTTATAAAAACATTGCATTAATTAATTAAGTTTTTTTTTGTAAAGGAAAAAACATAAAACTATGTTAAAAACTGATTTATTCTTTATCCATTGTTGATAATAATAATAAGAATAATAAAGGCTATTATGCCTAAGAACAGAAACTGATAACGTAATTAGCATTATTACAAGTAAATCTACTCGAAGCATAATCGTATACATAGCTATTCGCAGTAGGACAAGCTCCTTTAAATAACTTCGAGTATTTCGTCGGAGGACAAGTCTCCGGTCTATTGAAAGCGCCGGTGCAACAATACTCCGGTTTGTTAAAAGCCTCACAAGCACTCTTACACGCCACAACACCCTTCGAGTCCGTAACGCGTAGCTCGTTCGGACAAATCGCGTTCACGTCCGAAACACATCCCGCGGTTTTACAATTGCCTGAGCCACCTTGTGGTGTGATTTTCATCTGAACGTTGTAACCGTCGACGAGGCTCACGTCGTAGGAATCTTGTACGGCGTATTGTTTTCCGGAGGAGCCGATTCTGAATTCAGCTAGTGTGGTTGGTGGAGCTCCTTCTGCGCCGGCGCATTTTAATTTGCCACCGCAGTCTCCGGTGGTGCATTTTCCGGAACCCGAGGCGTCGAAGTTGCAGCCCGTTCGACCCCAGAATCGACCGGACCAACCTGGAGAAACGGTTAAGTTTACGGAAGATCCCGAAGGTAAGGCAAATCCGCCGTCGCCGATTAGTGTGGACTTTGCGGTTAGGATTCCGGGCCAGACGGTGAAGCTGCAGCGGTTCGATAAAGTGAAGACGGTGCCGGAGACAATGGAAATTGTACCTTTGAAAGAATATACAATTCAAAAGAAATTATTAGATAGAATTAAAACAAAAATCGTTTATGAGATAAATTATTAAATCAAAGTAGTAATCAGAAAAATGTTGGAAATGTTTTATGTATACATGTGGTTATGATGAAGGAGAAGAAGAGAAGATGTGATGTGGAGAAAATAGCCATCGTTAATCTGAGTATTGAAAAGTTTAAGTTGTGATGATGATGATTATGAGAATCGTCTATTTAAGCTTATTATTTTGGATACTACTTACCATAAATGCCAATGTGACACGTTCATATTTTTTTTTTTACTTTTCTAGTTTTATGAGATTTTATTTTCGTTATTACATAAAAATCAACTTTCATAATATTAAATAGATCTTCCATTGAAAAGTTGATTTTTTTTCCTCACATTTTGGTAATTAATGGATGTTATTGGTTTGTGATTTAAATAGTGTTTTAACGACTTTAAATTTTATGTTGAATATGTTTTTATTCAATCAAGATTTTATTAAATTCTGTTAAAGTTTGGTGTTATTAGTTTTTTATTTGTAAAAAAACTTCTAAAATCTTCATAAATCTTGAGTTATTGGATTCAAAATTTTGTAAAGTCAATAAAAGTTTTGTGTTATTCAACTAAAACAAAAGAATCTCTGATTGCTAATGAATTAAATTATTATGTTATTCGTTTATGATTTTATTCACTTTTATTTACAAAATAAAGTCATAAAAATTATTAACAAAATAGAGAGATTGTTTGGAAAACTTTACAAGATTATGAAAAAACTAGTCAACAAGATTATAGAAAACTCTCTATTAGTCGTTTAGAGTCTTTCATTTATTTACTTTCTATGATTTTATTAAAGTAATCAAAACACTATTTAAATCACAAACCAATAACAACCGCTTAGTGTGTAGAAAATCTACAATAGATAAACTGGCAAAAATGACGGTAGCAACATTTACTTTTCAAAATGCTCCCAAATGGATGATGTGCGTGGTTTTCTTCTACACTAGAAATCGACCCCATGCGTTGTGTGGATTTAGTACTATACTATAATGTTTTAATTATTTTCTATTATTTAAAATTTTTATTTTATTTGGAATTTTATATTTAAAATATATAAATGAAAATGGATAACTGGATAATCTTCTAAAATTATTTTGTTTTTGAAATTTTGTTTACAACAATACTATATAAAACATATGAATTCAACCGGTGAAAATGTGGTGTAATTAATTTGTAGTGGTAAGAACCAATGTGAAAAATAATAAATGGTATTTAAACATAATTTCTATATGTTATACTCTTGAGACACTTGCAATTTTAAGAAGAAAGGAGAGGGAGAGATTTTGTGTTTTTGCTTTTGGAAAATAATGAAAATATGAATGAGAGGTGAATATATAGCCGCGGGCCGGGTGGAAGATATGTGATCCGCACAAATGTGTGCTCTTGTGCAGATATCTCGAGGAGTTGAGGCGAGTGGATGAGAGGCGCAAGACTAGATCAGTTGTTGCACGTGGGCGTGAGACTCGGTATCTTCAACGACGAGAATCAAAAGGTTTTTCACTATATTTTATCTTTAGTAAATACAAAATTGGAGACGAGATCTCCAAAAAACAACAGTGTCATCAGCAAAAAGGCTTAAGAAAGACTCAAAGATAGATGTTTTCGTGGACACAGAGTTATTTAGCGATCCAAAATGCTCCAATCATTGTTAGCAGCGGAAACAAGTGGCAAGAGATTAGTGGAACAGGCCTCAAATGGAGCAATGATGTCAGGTAATTCACCATGGACGAAACCTTAGCTAAGGCACATATTTCAGCATTTGCATACTTTGGGAGGAAGCTTTTGTTAATACGAGAATATGAGCACACAAACAATTTCACGAGGTTTGGCAACGTGCCTAATCCTCAATAACTTTCAATAGAAATTGTTTAGACAATCTTACACCAAGCTTTGCCTAAATGGAATTACTCGACACTAAGACACCCCTTAGTTCGACACCAATAAATTCCTAATGAACTTGAGACACTTAGATTAACACCTAATCTAAGAATCACTCTCTTTCTCTCAAAAGCAAAAGCTTAAACTACTCTGGTTTTTCTCTCCTTGACGGCACTCCCAAAACCTAACGTCGCGTCTCTCTATTTATTCTATAGAGATCACGTTTACATCACATATTAAATGTAAAATAACCTTATTCATTAACTAATGAATATTCTCTTTGATTTGAAGCTATCTCCATATATATAGATGGCAAACTCTACGCTCCAATTGAGTTGTGCCACGTCATCTTCTTCGTTGCTGGATTCTTTTTGTGTCCAGATATTCCTGTGTAACACAGCTGCGTCCTGTTCCACTCTGTGCTGCGTTCTGATGCACTTTATACCTTCATTCTCCCCCTTTTTATCTGAGTGTGTCAACTCAAGCTCATTAATCAAAAAACCTCACTCCCCCTGCATCTTTGCACCATGTTCTCCCCCTGCTTGAGTGCACACTTAGATAAAACCTAAATACTTTTTGCATCAACAATCACACAAGTATTCTCATTACTTTGTGATTCTGCATTCTTCTCTGGTTGAACAGGAATGTCTGGCACAGCTTTATCTTGTGTCACTGGATACTGAACTGAATATTCACCTTGAATAGACTTCACATACAAATCTTGTTTTGCTATCCATACTGCATTGTATCTTCTTGGTTCAATGAAACATTTCTTCAGCTGCCATGCTCGTTTGATACTTTCTTGCCTTTTGACACAAAAAGCTACAACGTGTCCACAACTTCCACAATGAAAACAGCTCTGTGATTGTCGAGATGTGATGCTCTTCGCCTTATGAGAGTGATCATTTTTCTTCAAATCACCGTGTAATGTATTACAACTCATACTTACACCCATCATTTTTGAAGCACCATGAGCAGGTTCATGTCCTTGTGCCGTACACAGAGATCTGCTACCAAGAACAAAATTACTCAGCTTTTCTGTGTTTTCACCAACACAAGTTGATATTCCACGATATCCTAGCCCATAATGATGTTTCTCAGTTCTTCCCATGGCTAAAATTTGATCCAAATTTGTTGATCTATTGTTTAGCATGCGAATCTTCTTATGATTCTCGCTCAGCTCATGCTCCAATGACTTGCTTTTCTCCTTCTCACATTGAAATTCCTCCTGAAGCTTGTTTATCTTCTGTTCCAGTACATGTCTGTCTGCAACAGAGAGTTCACACACTGTTTTTTCTGGATCTGCTTTTAACTCCAACATGCTCACTTTGGCTTCCAACATCCTATTTGTCTTGATCAACTGAATGTTATCATTGCTGAGTTTAACCCAACTGTCAAAAAGACTTCTGAATTCAGCTTGAACGTCAACATCTTGATCACTTTCTGAGTCACTGTCTGTTGCGACAGAAATCGTCTGTGTTACACAAGAACCTGCAGATTCATGTTCTTTGTTTTCTTTCTCAGATTTCATACATCCATGCAAAGCTACAAGGTTGAGTACGTCTTTTTCTTCACATGACTTTCTATCACTGCCACGTTGACCCATCTTCATCATCTTCTTCTGTGAGCTGATACATTCTCCTTTTGTATGACCATAACCGTCGCACTTGTTACACTTGATTTCTTTCTTCTTGAACGATGGACAATCTGATTTGATATGTCCAATACCATGACATTTATAACATTCAACATCATATTTGTTCTGTCCTTCCTCCCTTTCTTTTAATCTGGTTGTCACAGTCTTAAACAAAAGATCCATGTTCTCTTCAAATTTTTGTATCATCAAGCGCATAACTTCTTCAACTTTTAGAATCTGTTGCTTGTCTTCATCCACTGTAAACACATGATCCTTAAGAAGTTTAGGTGAGTTAGAATCCATTTCTATCTCTTCAGCCTGTAGCATCCCTACTGCGTCATTAAACTTGAGCTCATCCATATTCTTTGTCAATTTTATCACAGTTTTCAAAGACAAAAATTTAGGCGGTAAGCATCGCAAAAGTTTTTTCACCAATTTTGCATCTTTGTATCTCTTACCTAACACTTGTGCTTCATTTGCAATGGAACTGAGCCTAGCACTGAAATCCACTATCTTCTCATCATCATTCATCCGAATATTTTCAAATTTTGATGCAAGTAACTCTAACCTTGTTCTCTTAACCTTGTCTGTACCTTCAAAGACATTTTGCAGTATATCCCACGCCTCTTTAGCTGATTCACACCCTTGTATCAGTTCGAATTCTCTTCGCTTCACAGATTTGAAAATTGCGTTCAACGCCTTTGAGTTAAACTTAGACATCTTTTTCTCTGTTGCAGTCCACTTCGTCCTTGGCTTAGCCACTAATTCTCCATCTTCGGATGTCACATATGGCTTTTCCCAACCACACTCAACAGCCGTCCAGGCGTCTTCATCGATGTCACAGATATTGGTCTTTGTTCTCACTTTCCAATATCCATAATTCGCACCATCTAACAATAGAGGATTGTAAACATCGATTAGTTGTGCATATGACTCCATATTCTCTTCTCAGGATCTTAACCTGTATTGAGCTTATACTCAGGTCGGTCACCCGCTCTGATACCACTTGTTAATACGAGAATATGAGCACACAAACAATTTCACGAGGTTTGGCAACGTGCCTAATCCTCAATAACTTTCAATAGAAATTGTTTAGACAATCTTACACCAAGCTTTGCCTAAATGGAATTACTCGACACTAAGACACCCCTTAGTTCGACACCAATAAATTCCTAATGAACTTGAGACACTTAGATTAACACCTAATCTAAGAATCACTCTCTTTCTCTCAAAAGCAAAAGCTTAAACTACTCTGGTTTTTCTCTCCTTGACGGCACTCCCAAAACCTAACGTCACGTCTCTCTATTTATTCTATAGAGATCACGTTTACATCACATATTAAATGTAAAATAACCTTATTCATTAACTAATGAATATTCTCTTTGATTTGAAGCTATCTCCACATATATAGATGGCAAACTCTACGCTCCAACTGAGTTGTGCCACGTCATCTTCTTCTTTGCTGGATTCTTTTTGTGTCCAGATATTCCTGTGTAACACAGCTGCGTCCTGTTCCACTCTGTGCTGCGTTCTGATGCACTTTATACCTTCAGCTTTATCTCTAAGTTCTGGTTAATTCAAGAAAATGCAAATGATACTTGGAATCGGAAATGTCTCATGCGTTTGTGCCCCTTAGCAGAGAGATTCTTAAGGTGTTCCATTGGTAATATGGGTCAATTGCAAGTTTTTCGATGGACTTTTTGACATCTTTTTGGTCTCCTAATAAAACGCTTGGGGCCGGAGGGACCTAGAAATCTAAGGATCCCTTTAGAGCTTCGATAGATGATGTGATTCACGACATTGTATGGACTCTTCTAACTCCACATTTTCCTGACAACGATATCTTCCCCTTCAACTAGAAGAGAACGATAAATATTGGTGGTGTTTTAATGATATGGATTGCAATGGTTTCTCTTCTTTTATGACTTGGCACGTCCTTAGACATATGACGTGCCCCCAAAACTTTTCTCCCAAAGAGATTTTTCTGCGACAACCCTAAACTCCGCCGCGTCTTGCCTCTCCGGTGTTTGGTTGCGACCGACACTGTGAGAGGGCTCTTGGTTACTTGCTCTCCTCTTCACATGTGCACTTGAAGGCTCTGGAGGGTCGTTTCTTCTTTGTTTCTCGTGGTGTGTGTTGAAGGTTCTCCGTGCGCGACGGCCGGTTTCCGGTGACTGGAATCTCCTGCCCTCTCCCTCCACTGCTTGTAGACGGTGCTGGACAAAGGTAGAGGCTCTCATCTCCGGTCCAAGCGTCTCGCTTCTCTTCGGCGGAGCAAGCTTTTGTTTGTAGATCTGCTCTAGATCTCCTTCTTCCTGGTGATTTCTGATGGTTGAGCGTGCTTCCCTAGGCTTCGTCGTGGTATCGCCTCTCTTCCTGGCTCGGAGTCATTTTTTCCAAGATCTCTCTTGGTCTAACCACCGCGTTTTGGCTCGTGTCTACCGGATTCTTGGGTTTCTCTGAGTCGAGAGTTCGCTTTGAGGATAGCTTACCCCCGCTCGCTTGAAGCCTCTGTCCGCTCTGTGCGTGTCGATTTCGTGTGTTGGAGTTTGAACTGAGAGGCTTTCTTTAGCTCAGTGCCTGGTTCTCCAGCTTTGGTCAGTGTTCTCTGTTGGCCCGCTGTTGCTTCTGATGCCTCAGCCTCTCTTTTCTGTTTCTCCTCCACATAGGTAAACAAAGTTTGGCTGTTATTGGTAAGTCTAAGGTCGTCTAGTTGTCTTCGTCGAGCTTGATTTTAGGAGAACCATGTCTCTGTTGGCCTATTCTGCTTGTGGACAGTAGCAGAACTTTTAGGAGCATGATTCTCGTGGCTGGTTAAGCTTTGTCGTCGATTAGGATTCTCTTTGCTTCCTTTGTGCATCTGCAATGGTGTTTTCAAGTTGTGGCGTTAGCTATCAGTGGTAGCTAGTTACCTACTTCTTTTGAGATCTCCGTTTGCATTTCGGCTCTTTGGTTTTGTTCAAGGCTTGTTCTTTCCTGTGGCTTCCTTTTGATAGTGCTTTTGTTTGAAGTTAGCTTGCTTTCCGTGCATGTTTCCTTGTGTTTTGGATTGAGCTTTAGAGGAGCTAGTAGGGCTAAAGACTTCTGATGCAGTGGTGATTTTTCTTATCTTGCTCTGCGCTACTGACTTCGAGGATGAACTTGGTTAGAGGGAGCTTGCATCTCTGGTTTTTGGCGTGTGAGGTTCCGTTTCTAGGAAAGCTCATGGATTGAATTGAAGAATCGATCTCACTTGAAGCAGGGAGAGTAAGTGATCGTAGATTTGGAGTTTTCAAACCGTTGACGGCTCGGTCTCGGGTCTCCTGCGAAAGGCTTCTGAAGCTCTTGGTCCATCACTTTAAGGTGTTTTCACTTTAAGCAAAAGCCCTTCTACTTTGCTTTTTCATTCGGGAAGGATAGATCAGAACGTAATCGCTTCATCTTTTCCCATTGCATCATAGCTTTATTTACGGGGTTGAGAAGATGGACCGAAAACTTAGTTTTAATTAATCGTATGTTATGTTTCCATGTTTTTATTCTTTTTGCCATGGATCCATATGCATAGGTTTCAAATGCTATGTTTGTAACCTAAACTATTTTTCATTTTCTATGAAATATTTACAATTTAGCAAAAAAAAAGGAGCAACGCCTAGAAACTCTTTTCATATGTGGACTTCTCATCTTAATAGACCGCCGCCTACTGAGGTATGCAAGTCTCTCATTTTTTTCTTCTATTGTTCTACTGAGGCTAAGACAAGGGATCACCTTCTCATGTCTTGTGATTCAGAATTGGGAAGATCTACTGACTTGGACCAGGGGCAAAAATGCAACTGCTCCCTCAACTCTCAAAACACTTGTAACTTAGGCCATTATATATGCTATATGGAAACATCGGAACAACATGCTTCACAAATCTCAAGTCATACTGCCTTCTTCCATCTTTAAGGTAATACATCGTGAAATTATCAACTCCATCAATGCGAGGACACATCAAAAAAAAAATTGGAAGCTAATGAGCCACTGGATCTTTTAAATTTGAAGACTTCATTCTTGGAAAAAATGTTTACTTCCTTGTTCTTTATTTCTTTTTTGCCAAGGAACTAATGTTTTAGGTAACCAACATGTAAATCTTCAATTTTCATTTCATATGATATTTATTCACTTAGCAAAAAAAAAGTGTGAGCAACGTGGAGGCGGAGATAAAGACATCGTCGAGATTCACGTTCTGGTGAAAACCGTTTGGATCATCTCGAAAACGATAAGACCGGTCAAAGATACGTCACATATCAAATCAAGAAGCCTAATTGCAAACACAAGATATGAAGTAGTTTGAGTAAGAGCAAAGGATACTTAAACGAAAAGTAATAGAGACAAAATCTGATGGAAACACATATTGATGTTTGAGTAGATAAGTTTGAATGCTTTGTATAGCGTAAATAACTTCTCTGTTCTTAATATACTGATGTTTTAGTCGGAAAGCATTCCAAACTCGGGACAGACAGTGTGGTGGTCCTTCGGGGAGAAGTCAACTCTGAAGCACTTTGGTGCGTTTCTACCAGGGCTGACCGGATCAGCCGATAGGGTTTATCAAAAAAAAAAATATTGATGTTTTGGATTTTACACATATTCAAAAATAATCATTATTAAATCATGATTGTATTATCTTTTATATTAAATATTTTTTAATAACTATATAAACCATTAATAATCTAACAAATTTAATCAATTGCGTCTTGAACTTTACGATTTATAATATCAGTCAATAAAAAACAAAGAAAAAAACTACAAAAGCAATGTGGAATAAACTAAAAATGATTGAACATGATTAAAAACAGACGGAGTACATTTTATCTATTTTCACAAGCTCTAAACTAACATAAAAAAACTTGCTTGGTTTTTTTCCTTCGAATTTATAAGGTTATTGCTTAGGTTATTGAAATCGAGTCCAGAGCTGGGACGGGACCCTCAGGTTTTAAAATCCAAATCTCTCCGTTGCTTGTTTATTTTTGTGGTCCTAGAAGAATCAATCATGTTCTATATCAAGTTTATTTAACCTAAAAAGGACAAACCTTTTATTGATTTCCACAATTTTTTGTACTTTTCAGGTTTTCTGAGACATGAAAGCCAAATAAATTAGCTTATCAACAGAAACTATCAACAAATGAAGAGTTTCTGAAGCACATTATTAGATCCTTTTGTACCTTTTTTCTATTTATAGATTCTCTGTTTTTTTTGGTTGTTTACAAAAGTGACATATACTATAACAAGAAATATGAATTAAATGATTAGCATGAGTGATTTTTTAATCTTTAAAAAGAAATATCTGAACGGTACAAAAAAAGTTGTCTGATTTTTGTCACAATATTGGAGAAACTCATACTACTATTTTAGGGTTTCTTTTCCTGAAATTCTCCGGCATGCAGTGGTTGGATTCACCACCAGTTTCACCACTTTCAACTTCTGGCATCATTAACACCAAAAACACAAATCTTGTTTTGTAGATTGATGACTCTCATAGATACATGCATAAGAGAGTAAAGAGACTGTCATTAATTTCTCCTGACTCAACCATCACTCTCAATCTCTCTCTCTGACACGAACACACATGCATTTACAGTTTTCATTTATCACAACAACTACCACTTCTCTTTCTCTTTCTCTCTGGACAGATTAAGCCTGGCGACTACACTTTTTCAAAGAAAAACATTCAAAGAATGGCGTTTCCGTATTCTTCATGCAAACAAAAATATACATTCCTCTCCTCTCTTCTTCTACTTTTGCTTCTTTCTTCTTCAGTAGCTGAGCTCTCTTTCAACTTCTACGCCGGTTCATGTCCCGGAGCTGAGTTAATCGTCAGGAACACCGTTAGATCTGCTTCAACCTCTGATCCATCAGTCCTTGGGAAGCTCCTACGTCTCATCTTCCATGATTGCTTCGTCCAGGTACATTACATTCTTCCAAGACTGTCTCTTTCTTGCATAACAAGGCATTTACAATGAAATGAGATTTTTTGTTGTCATTGCTGTCCTAGGGTTGTGATGGCTCAGTGTTAATTCGAGGGAACGGTACAGAGAGAAGCGATCCAGGGAACGCGTCTCTAGGAGGATTCACTGTTATAGAAAGCATCAAAAATGTCCTCGAAATATTTTGTCCCGGCACAGTGTCTTGCGCTGATATACTTGTTCTTGCTGCTAGAGATGCAGTAGAAGCTGTAAGAATTTTATCAAATTCACACACTTATGAAATGTTTATTTCAGTAAAAACTCTGTTTTCTTTTTTGGGTTATTAAAAACTCTGTTTCTTGTTGTTGTAAATACTATTTTCCGGACAGCTAGGAGGACCGGTAGTTCCGATACCGACAGGGAGAAGAGACGGGACGGTCTCAATGGCGGAAAATGTCAGACCAAACATCATCGATACCGATTTCACAGTTGATAAGATGATCAATATCTTTTCCTCTAAAGGCTTATCTGTTCAAGATCTAGTGGTCCTCTCTGGTACATTATGTTTCTTGATATTCAATAAGGAGAGCGATATTTCTTTAAAACAAACCTTGAAAATTCAATTTGACGGTCTCAGGAGCACACACTATTGGAGCTGCGCATTGCAACACATTCAACAGCAGGTTTAAGCTTGATCCAAAAGGAAACTTAGAGCTAATAGACGCGTCTCTCGATAACTCCTATGCGCAAACACTTGTAAACAAGTGTTCATCGTCATTAGATCCAACGACCACGGTCGTTGATAACGATCCAGAGACATCTTCGACGTTCGATAATCAGTACTACAAGAATCTGTTGGCTCACAAGGGTTTGTTTCAGACGGATTCAGCTCTCATGGAAGATGATCGAACGAGGAAGATTGTTGAGATTCTTGCGAATGATCAGGAGAGTTTCTTCGATAGATGGACTGAGTCTTTTTTGAAGATGAGTTTGATGGGTGTGAGAGTTGGTGAAGAAGGTGAGATTAGACGTTCTTGTTCTGCTGTTAATTAAAAGAAGATTAGACCAAGTTTCTAATCAGAGGAGCAAAATTGGGAAATAGTGTTTCTTACGGATGGTAGTTTTACTTAATACGATTTCTTGATTTATTTATTTTCAACTCATGTAAACAATTACGACTTTATGAAAATTTAAAATTAATTATAAGTACTTTACTGAACGAGTTGCAAAAAGTAAACTTCACTTACGAATTTTCATGCGTCGATAGAAATAGTAATGGATATTATGAAAGACTAACGGAAAAATGGGTTAAAAAACCTTCACCTTTCTTAAAAACGTATTAAAAACCTTCAACTTTTTTTGTGGGTTTTTAAACCCTCACCTTTTCATTAATAAACTCAATTTAAATTCAAAAAAATTGTTACATTAAATCATAAATAAATATAAACAATTTGATTTAGGAATTTTCTTCTAAAATTCTTGTTTACAATCTTTTGCTAAATTGAAATTTATAAGTATGATGTAGAAAAATTAATTAATGAAGTTGTATTCGGTTGTGTTACGAAAAATTATGTATAGAAAATTTTATACCGAACAGAATATGAGTTTATGTTAATAAAGGTGTATTCGGTTCGATCACACAAATATACTAATGTGAGACCAAACCAAATTTTATAATACTCCAAAAAGTAGATGAATTTGCACATCAAAATATTTTCGTTGGACGAACAAAATAAGATTTACTAACAGTATTTCTATATATATGTGTATATATCACGATATACTAAAACTATAATATAAATTACATTTAGTTAATCGTTATTTAACTATATTTTATCCAAAAACTGAAAACTCGAACAAAAAAAAAATCAAAATGTGCTATTTGTCTAATGGTAACAAAAGTTATTTGTGTAATCTCAACTAAATTGTGAATGAATTTTTATAGCGCAAAAACCTTAAATTTAGAAAAACAAATTGCAAACGAATTTGGAAAAAAAAATCATATTTTTTTTTTGTTTCGTAATGTTTTAATATAACGATTAAAGAAAATTAAGTTGAGTTTACTAATATTAGGGTTTATTTTACCACTTATGAAAAGGTGAGGGTTTAAAATTCCACAAAAAAAGTTGAGGGTTTTTTACATGTTTTTAGGGAAGGTGAAGGTTTTTTTACCCATTTTTCCAAGACTAACCATAGAAGATTGAGAAATTAGTTCTCTCTCTTCTCTAAAGTTGTCGTCTACTGTTTAATAATTTTGGACTTTTTTGCCCCTATTTTCACTATTTCTATTTTTCTTTCATGTATCTGGTCGATATCAGAAGAAGAAAATGAAAAAGCTGTAAACAATGAAATTCGTTGGACCTCCAATGATGCCTATCGTTCTGCCTCCTTTTTAATTTTTTTCGAGACTCATGATAGTGCCAACGATAAACTCGAGACGAGCTCCGCCGAGACGGTGCCTTGATCCATGTGTTCGCCAACGATGAACTCCGAGACGGTGCCTTGACCCATGTGTTCACCAACGATGAACTCGAGACTAGCTTCGCCGAGACGGTGCCTTAACTCATGTGTTCGCCAACGACTAATTGAAATTATTGTGGTTGTTGTGGAATCAAGATAGTAGAATGGGTATCGTCGACGACAGTTGAATGGATTAAGCTGCGGAGTTCCAGACCTTGACGAAATTATGCAATGAGGAATTTACCAATTGGAGTTTTGATGAGGTTAATCGATCAAGATAGGGGAATGGGTATCGTCGACGGCAACGACATTGTCATATTCTTCTGGGTTCGATTCCGTAACGGATAACAATTTAATTAGCAACGTATATAAAATGCTAACATATAAAACACATAATAGATACACTGCTAACACAATAATTAACTATCTAAAACTATAATTGATCCATCACCGGAAATTTGCCGTAGGTTCGTAGCTATTGTCAGAATGCATCTAAAAGATTTATCTCGTCGAAATCTATTTATTATACCACTAAATAATTTGTTACATACGGAAGGGTATTTTCGTCCAACTTATATAAATTGATGAAAGAGAACTAATTATACAAAAAGTATGTGTATATTCTTAATATTTCAGTCATCTATGTATTTAGATTAAATTAACCCAATAGTAATAATCAACGGACAACGGTTCTCGATAATAATGGGCGGAGGCAGCTTATTAGTAGTGGGGTCAGCTGACCCCAACTGATTTGCAAAATTATACTATATGTCTTTACTATTAATTCTCATGAACCCAATTAAAAATTTTGTTTGACCCCATTAACCCAACTAATTTAAATACATAAAATGCAAAGGGCTATATCTTTTAAAAATTAGATTCACGTTAGAAACAAAATCCGAAAGATTAGTGCAACCTTTATAGTTTACATGGATTATGCAAACAAATTCATTCAAGTTAATTAATTTTATACCAAAAAAAAAAAAAAAAATTCTTTCTCTCTTCTTTAGCTGAACAGAAAAAAAAGTTGTAGTAGGTAGCCTTATTATATTTTAGTTTTTTGTTAAACTCACATAATTATAGATTTATATTTACACTCTATGTTTTTTATTAGTATTTCCTTAGTATATATTTATTTTTTAGTTTTATCATTTAAGAGATATTTTTTCGAGATAAAAATTGTAAAGACTACACTACTGAATCGCATCTATGGTTGATATATTGGATAAACTTTTTTGAACCATTTGGATTTTGTTTTGAAATGGATTCGAACCTTATGAGTATTTCAAATCAGCTTTCCAAAAAATTACTTGAGTTGCTCTCAAAAAAAAAAAAAAAAAAAAAATTACTTGAGTTTTTCTAAACCGTTTATATCAAAAAAATCTTACATATATTCTTTAAATTGTTAAAAGCAAAAGAAAGACATTATATGACAGTCAAAACCGATATGAATAAAGCATATGACCGCATTGAGTGGGGTTTTATCAAAGCAGTAATGGAGAGAATGTTTTTTCATAAAAAATTGATCTATTCGATCATGCAGTATATTTTTACTGTCTCCTACTCTTTCCTAAAGTCCTACTTAATGGATCAACACAAGGAGTTATCATTTCCCAAAGAAGAATCAGAGGAAAATCTCATATCCCTATATTTTTTTATCCTATGTAGTGAGGTCCTCTCAAGCCTATGCAGCAAAGCTCAACATGAACAAATTCAACCTGGGAACAGAGTGGCAATCGACAGCCCGAGAGTGAACCACCTTTTGTTTACTGATGACACAATGTTTTTCTGTAGATGAGATGAACAAAGTTGTCAAACCTTACTATACGTAATCCAAAGGTATGAAATTGCATCATGACAACTAATCAACAAGGGGAAATTTGCAATTACCTTCTTAGCCAAGACTCTAGCAAGTATCAAGGAAGCTCACCAAACCCTTAGAATGCAACAAGTGGGAGGGTTAGGAAAATACCTTAAATTCCCTCAATTATGTGGGAGAAAGAAGAAGGACATGTTTAATCTGATAATTGACAGAATCAAACAAAGATCATTGAGATGGTCTTCAAGGTTTCTATCCACAGTTGGGAAAACCACCATGCTGAAATTTGTTCTAGCTGCCATACCAACTTACACAAGGTCTTGCTTTAAGATCCTAGGATCACTCTGCAAGCACATCCAATCAGCCTTTACTAGATTCTGGTGGGATTTCTCTATAGAAAATATTAAAATGAGTTGGGTCTCTCGGTCAAAGTTAACCAAAGCAAGAAGGGATGCGCATTTAGGATTCAGAGACATACCTAGCTTTAACGATACTCTACTAGCAAAGATTAGTTGGAGGTTCCTTTTCACATCCTACCTGACTTCTTGCCAAAATTCTCCTGGGACAATATTGCAAGTCCACTCCTTTATTCATTTATTTAAGAATTTTTGTATTTTAATTTTTTATTATTAATAAAATTTATTTTTTTCACTATGTTTCAACATAATTCAATTTAAATATAATTTATATTTATAAATTATATCAATAATAAAAATTGACAGTCACAACTTATACAGCTTTTAGTTACCAATGAGATTTTAATAGCTAAAGTCCCTATAGTCAAAATTTCTGCATCCAAAGTTTCTACACCAAGATATTTTGAAGCCAAAGTCTCTAAAGTTAAAGTTAACAGGCCTTAAAAAGCATAAAATTTTGATGGAATAAGCTTTGATTGTAAAAGTTTGTGTTGTACTCCTTCCGTTTTTTTAGTTGATGTTTTAGGAGAAAAAGTTTATTCTAAATTAGTTAATTTAAAAGTCTCTACAGCCATTTCTTTTTTTTTTACTCTTTTAGTTTTAGTTTTTTTCTAAAGTCATGTATTCCTGGCTTTCAAAATAAAAATAATGAAAGCTTATAGTTTTTTTTATTTCCTCTTCCCCATGATTATAAAAACTTTCATAAAATTCTCTAAATAACTAATTTTTAAAAAAATTCAGTTGATTTATAATGGAATTCTTTTTCTTGTTTTATTAAGATCTATTTCTCCATATTTTCGATAATTATTTTAAATCCTAATTTTTACAGTCATATGTTTTACCAATCGGTTATAATAAATTTTATAGTCAAAATCCTAACAGAAAAAGTCTCTACAGCCAAAATTTTTATAGCGAAAGTCTTTAAAGCCAAAAATAACCGTCGCTACCAAGCAGCCCCTTAATTAGATTTTTATTAGTGTTGACGATTTATATTCTGCAGTTTGGTTTTCTATTAGTTGATTTGATAATAAATGACATTTTAGAATAAATAAAAATTAAATAATGTTTTAATCCATGTGAAAAAACCTTAAACATCAAGTAAAAAAAAACCGAGGGAGTATATGATTATATGAATGTTATTCTTAATAGCTCAACTCATTTCTTTTTTTTGTACATCGTTTTCTTATATAGATTGTAAATCAAATTTTATTAGTTCAACATTTTACTAATTATATAATTTAGCATACAATTGTGAAAATTAATTCAAAAAAACAACAATCTTCTAATAACTTAGCCCCTGATTAAATCAGGACACATTTTAGTTTTAATCATCATTAATCTTCTAATAACCGATACTACCATCTTTCTTTAACCGGAAAATATCAGAAACTCGGAACAACACCAAAACCACCATAAACTCCGACGTCTCCACCATCATTCTCTCTCGAATCAGTTCTCTTAGCAAAACGTCCTTTGATTCTCGGTCTCATCTCAGCGTAAGCTTTACGCGACGCATACCTAATCGTCTTCTCAAATTTCCGATTCTTCCTCTTCTCTCTATACCTCAAAACCCTAGCTTCCCTCTCCGCTGGTGACAACTGCACAGCTGGCGTCACCGTCGTCGTGTTTGTTATCTCCGCCGTAACTCCTCCACTCTCAGGCACCAACGCTATATCTATCGATCTCGACGATACCTACAAACATTTCACAAACTCAATCAGATCCAAAAAAAATTCCAGATTTAGATCTGAAAAATTCGTACCGTTTGGTTGATGAAATTGAATCTGTTTGAAGAAACTTTGGAAGCAGAGAGATCGAAATTGAAGTAATCTTCATTGAGAAACATCTTATTCTGCACAGGAACAACTCCGTCGTTACCGGAGCTATTCTCCGACGTTACTTCCATCTTCGGATAATCAAGATCGGAAAACAAATTCGTGATTTCGATTCCTTCTTTATGTAAAAGCCACGACGCAGAGACGTCACCACCATCTTCTTCTACAAAATTGACAGAGGAAGAAGCGGATTTTGCTGGAGCAGTGTCGTAGAAAGGAGTGATTGGTACGCGCTCGTGGCGGCTAGAGAGCGGATTGGCTGAGTGGATATCACGGTCGCACGTGACGCAAAGCGCGGCTGCGTCGGCTTTGCACGTGACGTGTGCTGGTGCTTGTTCACAGACTTCACATAGCCAAACTCGCTCGTGACGTGAAGCGAGTTTGTTAGCTGTGTGGATTTTACTGTCGCAGACGCCGCAGAGAAATGCGGCGTCTGCGCGGCAGAATAGAGTGGCTGTCGTCGATTTGCACGAATCGCAAAGTCTCGACGACGCCATTGATTTTTTTTTTTGGAGAGAGAGACGATAATAATGGAGTTAGCTTTTTGGTATTGACTCTTCGTGTTATGGAAGTGGTGATTGTACCGGACGCGCCGGGAGTGAAGTGGGTCATGGAGATCTGAGAATAGCGAATAGAGAAATGACACGTCATTGAATCTTAGCCGAATAGTTGAAGTTTATGAGACATTGAGGAGACGTGGGGCTAAATCATGTGAAGGTGTTTTTTCTCAGTTTCATGTTCTCACGGACTTTAATAAAACGAATGGAAAGTTCTTTCTTTTTGTCGGCAAGGATATTGGAGATTACAATACTGAAGGTTATACTTACCGTGGATGAGATGGATATAACCATTTGTGGATTAGACCTTCTTTTGTTTAACCGATTAGAAAAGTAGTTTTTATTGAGGTACGGTACCGACAATAAAAGAAAAACAAATTTGTTAGAAGTTCATTATGAACCGTATTTAAATTGTAATAAATTTGGTCTGTAGTGAATTATTGTCAGTTCCTAAAAATAAAATGGTTTAGTCAGCTACTTGTTTAATACTGTGATATATGTTTAATTTTTTTAAAAATAACTAATAATACTGTAATATATGTTTAATTTTTTTTACATCCTCTAAAGACAAGGATCAAAGCATTTTATATGATCATCTCTCAAATGTCACTAAAACATGATCTCTAGGCTTTGCTTGAGAATTGAGCCATTGACATTTGGTATATGTTCATGTTACGTTTCGTTAAAATTTATATCGATCTCAAGTTCTTTAAGCTCAAATCTCACAATCAAATCGATTTTAAAGAATCATAAGAAAAGAAATAGAAGAAGACGACACAAGAACACAAAATTGTATACCCAGTTCGATTCACCAATGTGATGAATCTATGTCTGGGGCTGGATTCAATCTAGCAATCCACTATCACGAATCAAGAGTTTGCTCAAGCTCAAAACCAGAGCTCAAGAAGATTACAAGGGAAAGGGATTGAAAATTTTATGTTACAAGAGAATGATGACATTTTAAGTGTTTCGTCTGGAATCAGTTCAATTTCATTGTTAAAAGGTGATATATCCCTTACGGGTCTCAATCAAAAAGTCCGTGCTGAGTTTTTCTTTCATAATGAAACAAAACAAGAAAGAAAAGAGACAATATTAAGTGAACACGTCATTGATATTAACTCTTTAAGATGAAGAAGAACTAAGATAAAAATGATACTAAACAAACCAATAAGTAAAAATGATCAAAGATACACTCTTGAGGGATGTGACAGATTGGTGTATGACGATGATTTTATCCACTTCCCGACTTCAATGTATTACTCAACCTGAAGATCAAGATGGAAAAGAGAAAATAATATTTGAGAACAAACACGCAACGAAATGGTTCGGTTTCCAGTAATAGGACCAAGATATGGTTCAGTTTCAGAATGTGCTTACCAGTCCAATCCCTCGAAAAGTCCCTCGCCTTTCACAGCACAAGTTTTGAAGATTGCCCATTGACGACTCTTTATCTTATGCAACTCCAAGGCTTCTGTAACAGCCGCATCATCGAGTGCACCAGGAAGATCCTGTTTAAGACGATTTAATGAAGCTCAGACCAAATAGTTATAGATTTTTCATCAGCAAAAAAGTTTATAATGCATGCAAAACAAACTAAAGCTTTTTAGCTACAGAAACCAATACAGATTTCCAGCGAAATCAGCCAAAATTAATCAGAAAAGCGAACATTTAGAGACTGCTAACCTGCTTGTTCGCAAATATCAGAACCACCGCACCTTTCAATTCCTCTTCCTGTAAAATACGTTGAAAGAGAGTCAGAGTTAAATGCTGATAGTGACAGAGGTACACTCAAGTAAGCTTTGTTGTATAATGGAACAGTTTAAGATAAGATCTCCAAGATCTATGGAGAGTAATACTTCCATAGATCACTAACCTAGATACTTCAATTTTAGTGTCACTTATTAGAAGGCTAAGAACACTTGATATAAAACTTATAAGCATCTATAACAATTCCTAAACAAGAAACTGTACCAATATTGTATTATAGTTACCAATATACATCACCATAAAAAGCTTTCCATCAGGAAAATAATACAACAGTATTAAAAGAGGAAGCCTCGGCAGTAGTTTACCTCCAAAATTGCATGAAACTCCTCTTTCGCCACCCCGATTCTATCTGTATCACTGGAGTCAACAACATAGATCACTGCTTGTGTATTCGGGAAATAGCATCGCCAGTATGGCCTGTCCAAATAACCATTAGAAATTTAGGAAAAACAAAAACAGTATAATCTTGATGGAGCCATTTCTGTTCTTCATTCCTTCACAGTACATGCAATATATTCATCATTTCGAGGTCATTAATCTACCTGATGCTTGTTTGTCCACCTGTCACATGAAAGTTCTAGTTAATGTACTGAGTCGCCGAACCAATTTCTTTATCAAAATGTAAAACGCAAAATCAATCGCATGTAAGTATCATCTACTAACTACAAGACATAAATACATACAAATAAATGCATCTTATGCAAAACAATCAACAAAATACATACCAAGAAGATATGATAATACAGAACACTTTATCACCCAGATTCGAATAATACAGGATTCCGTCCAATATACCCACATTTACCACAAGTACTTATCATAATGAAGGATATCTAATCTAAGGACTCCAAATCGAGGAAATTCCTGATCACGGTTTGTGTAATTCACTCAAAGACAAACATTCCATTTATTCGAATGTGTTACTGAAGATCTGCTAATATGGAGGAGCTAGTCAACTTAGAAAGAAGACTAAGGAACTCAGAAAATCTCAAACTCAATCAATCACAAAATGGTTTGATATGACTTAATCTAATGCTTATATATAGTGTAGATTCCGAATTTCCCTTCCATATACATCAAAATCATTTCTACAACTTCAAATTCAAAGTTTAATGCAATCGAACACATTCTTAGAGCATACCTAAATCCCAGACCTGGAACTTGATATTGTTGTACTGCACAGTCTCAACGTTAAATCCAATAGCTGCAAAGATCGGATCAAAACCAAAATTCACAAAATCACAACATCAAAATCCGAAATCACATCCAACTAGATCCATAATCTATACAAAAATCGAGAGATTAGATACATACTCGGAATCGTAGACACAACTTCCCCCATCTGAAGCCGATCTGAAACCAAAATCAACGCAACTCAAAAAAACGATCGAATCAAAAACCCTAGTTTTAGAATGCGAAAGATTGAGAGAGTGAATTTACAGAGGATTGTGGTTTTGCCAGCATTGTCGAGACCGAGGACAAGGATTCGAGCTTCTTTGTTACCAAAGACGGAAGAGAACATCCGCGTGAATAAGATTCCCATTCTTCTTCTTCTTCTTCTTCGATTGGATCAGATCAGATCAAACGATCTAAGAGAGATTGTTCTTCTTCTCTTGGATCATTCGACCTCTATCAGATCTTTTCTTCTTCTTCTTTGAGAGTTAGTGCTAAGTCTGAAAGAAAAAAAAAACAATTTTGAGAATGTCGAGAATATACGTTTAGCAATTTTGTTTTCGTTGTTTCTGATTCAATCAAAGGCTTTGTTTGGGCCTAAATATTATCAGCTTGGCCCATTTTAACTCTAATTGGACTATCTTTGTTTTGAACTTCTAATTTCATTTCGTTGCATTATCAAAATGTTAACAAACTTTGTGACCAAGAGGTAAGTTTATGCATCATGGAAGAAAGTGATATAGAGACAGACTACTTATGTATGTTGTACTTTTTTCTTTCTAAGAAATTGCGAGTCGAAACTCATACATCTCCCTAGGTCTGGGCCGGTCTTTAATATTTTTACTTGTACTAGGTGACACTCGATCTTGTGACCTCTTAAAATTTTTCAAGATACCTTTCGAGTCGAGCTATCAACTTCTGGTTCCCCATACTCGATCTTGTGACCTTTTGTAATCTCTTCCCCATATTTTTTCTGCAGGTTCTTTGGCAAGTTTCGGCTGTTTTTCTGTGGGGCGTTTCTTTTTCTTTTGGTTGGCTTGTGGCCTTTGCTTTTTATGTTTGGGCTTGCTGGCCCTCTTGTTATTTTGTTGTTTGTGGTTTCTTGGGCTTGCGTGTCTGTTGGGCCTCCGGCTGTTTAATCTTTTTCTTTTAATGGAAATTTAAAATTAAAAAAAAAACTTATGGTTATATTGTATTTATTTTCTTGATCGCAATTACATAATCAATCTCTCCTACCTAATTGGGTGATCATGGGAATGTGCCTTTAGTCAAGTGGTTAAGTCCATTTGACTCCGCCTTTCCCACCGGAGTTCGATTCCACTAAGTCGTGTTACCTCGCGTAATAGGAATTGACTATGGATCTGACCTTCTCGATATAAGATGTCAAAAAAAAATAAAAATTGGGTGATCATATTGTCGTTTACTTTGCCTTAGGATTTATGTGAATTTTGTGTTAGTATACCCATGCATCTTATGTTCTCTTTACTCTAAAACAAAAAAAAAAATATCAATCATCGTTAGAAAACTACTAGTATTTAGGTAAAGTATACATGGTTTTTCTTTTCATGTGCATTTCGATTTTTAAAATTTAGAAAAATATTTGATAAAAGCACACCAATGATGTTTGTTAGTTTTTTAAACTACAATACTTTTAACATATATAAAGTATAATAAACATAAAAGTAACACCTAGCTTGACTAGGTTTGGATCCTCCATGTGTGAGGTGCAAAAGTAAAGTCAAAAAGAACAAACCCTAATACTAGAAAACTAAAAACAACCAAGTCCTAGCTAAAGCTATATCAAAATTGATGTTAATCGGAATTATGCTAGAACCAAACAACAACCAAAATCGCATATTCACACTCTTCCATATCAATTGATGTTTTCACTCCGAAAAAGTAATTTTGTTTTCGCCTTTCTTTATTTAATTATTTAAATTACTCTACTATTTTATTTGTAGCTTTGTTTATGCGGCACAAAGTTTAAGACAGTAATAAAGTTGAGGGAAATAAATGCAATGGAAAAAAGGGGAAGAAGTATTGCTTTGGAACTTTCTTGCGGGAGACGCGGCTACTCGGCGCCTCTAAAGACAGCTCAGCAAATGACAAATAAGTCAAAACAGAATCATTGTCTTCGCTTTCATATTAAACTCTGTTCTTGACACGTGTCTCCTTTTTCCTTTATGCTGCTCTTTTGATACGGTGAACAAACGTATTAAATTAATAAATGGGCAAATATTAATTATAGTAGTAAATTTTTTTGCACCTTTATTAAAATCAGTGGATTATAGAGCCTGTAGATTATAAAATCAGTGGATTAACTAGCGACGAAAACATAAAATTTGAACAAATATATATATATATGTGTGTGTGTAAATTAAACTACACATGCAAATGGGTTTATTACGATTTTTTTTAACCGCTTAACTTGTCGAAGATAATTAGTTGCGAAAAGGCTATTATTATATCAAAATAAAAATTAAGTTGTTAAAAAATTTTGATTGAAGATAATGCAAACCTTAAGTTTTAGACGTTTGTGTGGTGTGCACTTCACTTCAAAATCTTTCTGCATTGTGAGAACAGAAGAAAATTTGGTCATGTAACAAGAAGACTCTTGTTGATGGGTTAGTATCAAATTAAAAAGCAAAGCAGGCAATTGGGGCAAGTAATCGAATTATCTTTTGATTTATACCGTAAAATGTGTTTCTAATTTTTGTTTAATCAAAAAAGAATTTGATTCTTTTTCTTGTGACAAGACTACAACTCCCGCACATATTTAATCTATAGAACTCGATAAAATTAATTAAAATAAAATATTAAATTGATAGTTAATCATATTATTTTCAGTTTATTCACTAGTTAAGAAAAAAGTATAGTTAAAATTTGACGGTAAACTAGTAATGGACTATCAACTAATTTTAAATATCCAATTTGATAGCTAATATAAATGCAAGGAAAAATATGAAATTAACACAAATACATGGGAGGAGACACAATTATAACAATTCATAATGAAAGCAACTAAAAGAATATCTTTGACATAAAGAAAATGTCGAGAATATATACGTAATCAAAGGGTGAATGTATAAAATTAATTTCTGAACATAAATATAAAATTACACTTTGTGTATGGGATGAATCACGTTTCCATTGAAACATTGCAAGCTTTATTATGATGATCACTTGTGTTGTGATACTATATATTAATATATAGTTAATTTTTAGTAGATCTTACTGATGACATAAATGGTAATAACTTTTTAGCAATAAGATAGAGCAACAAGCGATTGCAGATGTAATAGTAGATCACACTATTTTTTGTTTTTTTATATAGCTTAGTGATCCTAAAAGTTTTCTACGTCCAAAGACTAATCATGGGGCTCATAAAAATTATTTTAAATTGCTAGACCTCTGATGGCCAATACTACTCAAATCCAAGCGGCGAGAATTACCTTCTTTTATCACTGGACCAAGGCAACTTGGTTACCTATCACACTATTGAGAATTACAAAAACTAGAAGACGAGTTTTCCATTATCTGGAAATAGGAAATTACAAGCAAACATTCATTAATCGTAACCAAAATTTTCTCTCAGTAAAATTTACATTCCCGGGAAAAACACAAAGGAAAATCTCCCAAGAAAATTCCCAAACAAAAAAAGACAAACACTGAGAGAAGAAAAGAAAACAAAAAAGCTCACTGACTCGTTGTTTCTTCATTTTCTTTAGCTTTCTCTCTGTCTCCCATTTTCTCCTCCTTCGAAATTACCATTTTACCCTCGTGACCACACATGCATTTGTTCGCCGCCGGCGTGGCCAAAAACCTCGGCAAATCATCTCCGGCCATTATGACAAGAATCTTCTCCTCGTACGCCGCACTCGCCGCCTTCACTCCAGACCGACTCTCTTTCTCCTCGTCAACTCCTCCGCCGTTGCCTTCGCCGGAGTCATCACCGGAGGTGGATAAGCGCCAGTAGGAACAAGCGAGGATAAGTAAAGCAAAGGCTATGAGGCCTAACATTGCCGCAAGACCACCGAATAGATACGGTACCGGAGAGTGCCACGGCGATATTGGCGGTCGGTGATTCCCGAATGATTCTACTGATGTAGCATGTCTAGCTACATCTAACGATGTTGGTTTAATGCTCAATGGTCTCATTTTTTTTTTTAATGTTTCTTCTGTTTCTCTCAGATTTTTTCTCTTCTTTATTTTCTAAGTATTTTTGTTTTCTCACTTTAGTACAAAGGAAAAAAGAAAAGAAAGCTGGAAAGATGAATGAAACAATGGGTGTGGTGAGGTGTTATATTTATAGGTAAGAAGTACCTGGGAAAAAAGAAAGTGAGTCACTCCGAATATTTAATTATTTGAACTAAAGCCGTTTTTAATTTTTTTTGCATTTTGTTTTGAGTGGTTTATTACTTTTAGTTTTGCCGCATATATTTGCATGCAATGTCAAATTACTTTGTTATAGACACATATACGTTTTAAGGTGCTTGTTTTTGTAAAAGATAGCGAACATAAACCACACCAACTTAAATGAGATATTTCTTCTGTTCTTAAAGATTGATGTTCTAGTTTGTATTGTTTGTTCCACAAAAAATAATTTTCTAGCATTTTTTTATTTTTATTGACTTACAATAGTAAATTGTAAATTTTAAGATGCAATATGATGATAATTATTAAAAATATTAAAAATATTAAAAATTAAAAACAATGTTAAAATAATTAAACAAATGATTGAGTTCTTAATATGTGTGAAAACTCCAAAACATCAAACTATTAGGAACAAAAGAAGCACGATATATCTTGTCTTTTATATTTGATTATTTTCTATGAACTATACAAAAAGGGATTCTTGTAGAAAATACCCTTTTTTAATTTTTTTTACGAAAATACCATTTTTCCTAAAATCTTACGGAACTGTCATGTCTTAACACGTAAAAATGTAGGTATTTACAATTTTTTTTGCAAAAATATGTACTTTATACCAAATAGTAAACTCTAAGAAAAAATAGAACCGACTAAACCCAAACATAACGGATAAAAAGCATGTTAAATCATATTTTTGTTGTCTGAAAAATAGCAAAATCCACAAACTATTCGAAAATGGCAAAATCAACAAATTCCACTCTAAAATAGGGTAAAATCCGTAATTGATTCACACATAAAACCAGGACAATACTAAAATAGAAAGAAAAAAAAAACTCGGACAATGCCCACAAGAACTACTGCGGATTGGTTTATAACTTTTGCGTAAAGGTTGTTGAAAAATATCTAAACAGTAGCTTAATAACATTAAATCGAAAAATTTGATTTAAAAAAAAAAAGATATGGGCCATAAACTACTAATATTTACCGATAAATTTGTAAGCATATGAACTTTGACATCAATCAACTACAAAAACTTAAAACTCTGTTAACAACTGCATAAACTACAAGAATTTAACATTTAAATTAAAAATTGTGTGTTCCAAACAATTTCTAAAATGTAACTATAAGCAGAGAGAAAATGAAAAATGTAACCAACCAAAAATTAACACTAAAACATATATAACATAGAGTGTAATTTAAGCCTAAACTAAATATAAAATTGGATGAAAACTTACAAGTTAGGTTTGTCGAAGTATTGTGTTCAAGATTGACGACAACTTCATCTTCATTTAGTTCATCATTCTATCGTTTAGTTTGCTAAGTCTTAGAAAAAAAAAAAAATTGGAAATATTAGAATTTATAATCTATATAATAACTGAAATTTACCTAGTTTGACACAAATATAGAAAATAATAACTAATTTTTTTTTTTTTTTTTTAAATAATAACTAAATTAACACCCAATAATTGTGATTTACTAGAATAACACAAAATTTGGGCAAAAATACAAAATACTCATTTTATGTTCATTTCTTCCAAAATAAAAATCTTTAAATATATAAGAAATAAGAATTAAATTAAAATTAAATAAAAAAATATTATTTTTTACCCTAATCTATCGACTTTTTCATTTTTCTTTTGAACAGACAAAAACAAAAACAAAAAACTTCTTGAGTTCTCTCAAATTGAAATCGACTTCTCCGTTGCGAAGACACAAATCAAGGAACCCTAATCGCGTAACTGACCACCGTCGATTAGAGAAGAGAAGCCATAGACGACGATGCTCCTTGTCTGGAGAATCCACCGCCAATTTGAGTTGTCGTAGTTGACTCTTCCCCTTCTCCGGTGGTTCTTCTATTTCAACTCTTGGTATATTTAATATATACGATATCTTCTCTCGGTATAACTTTTCATCAATTTTTTTTACAACCTTATGTTACTAAAATATACATTTAAATAAATTATTGCATTTGTTTCAGTGAACCATTGCAACATTTAGTTTATTTGACGAACCATTGCAACTTTCGATTTATTTTATGAACCGCTGTAAATTTTTCGGTTTATTTTATGAAACGAATAAATATCTTCTACGATTGCGTATTTTTAACGTAAATTTTCATAATTTAAATATTATTTTATTACTAGATAAAATTATGAAAACAATAATAAAATTATGAAACATTACTGTAAAAATACGCAACTATAGGAGATATTTATTTGCATTGCTATTATTATAAAGAAAATATTAGAATTGTTCATAAAATAAACCAAAAGTTTCAATGGTTCGTTAAATAAACTAAATGTTGCAATGGTTCAATGAAACGGTTGCAATAATTTATTTAACTATATATTTAGTAATTAAAAATTAAAAAAAAATGAAAATCTATACCAAAAAATGCGATCGTATATATTAAATATACTAAAAGTTACTATAATTCATAAAATAAACTAAAAATTACAATGGTTCATCAAACAAAACCAAAAGTTACAATGATTTGTCAAAAACATCCTTTGACTCGTCAAGAAAAATCTCATCAAAACTGTTTCACATAATGACCTTAACATCACCGTCGTTCTGCATTTCATTTAGGAGCAAGTGAATCGGTTTTTATGGGGATGTTAGATGTGTGTTAAAATATGTTGGACCCCTTACATTTTTCGGTAGTGGATCTGACTTGTAGAAAGGCATTAGTTTGTTTACTAAAATATATTTTAAATGAATTGTTACAACATTTCAGTTGAACCATTGCAACATGTGGTATATGTAACGAATCATTGCAACCTTTTACTTATTTTATGAGTCGTTGCAAACACTTGAACCATTGCAACATTTAGTTGAATCGACTAATCATTGCAACTCTTCAATTTATTTGACGAATCCTTGCAACCTTTGGTATATTGGATATATATTTTCGTGTATTCTGGTTATACATATATTTAAATGAATTGTTGCTATTGTTTAATTGAATCATTGCAATATTTTGTTTATATGATGAACTGCTTAACTTCTTATTTCTATTATGAACTATTGTAACATTTAGTTTATTTGATGAACGTTGCCAACCTTTGATATATTTGATGAACCATTACAATTTTTAATTTATTTGATGAATTGTTGCAACTTTTAGTATATTTGATGAACTGTTGGAACATTTGCCATTATAAAAAAAAATTATGGGCAATAATTAAAAATAAATAAAATCAGAAAAAAATCACTAAATAAAACTTTTTTTTGGAGAGAACACAAAGCATCAAAATACTAAAAAAATAAACGATTTTTTTTCTGTGAGAATGTGTTGGTTCATAGTAACCATCATTTCTCTATTTTATGAAATCTCTTTTAGGCGTTTTTCACGATTGGGTTTCTTATTTTCCACTCAATCAACTAACCAATTTGGGTTGAGACCGGAGTGCTACTCGCAGATTTTACTATCATCTCTTATAATAATAGTAATCCTAACAATTACCGTCTGCTCAAAAAGATGAAGAACACGACTTATTTGAGTCAGCTCGTTTTGAGTGTGATCGTTTAATGTGTGGCAGTGCCACATGTTTTTTTATTTATTTATTGACGAAATCACTTCCAGTAGTAGAATTTATAGTACACTAGCTTAATTACATAGAATCATATATATGAAAGTTGGTCAACTCTCTCCACCTTTCCACCACATTAGCACACGAGAGAGTGCCGCATGTCTATGAATAAATCATCAAGAAAAATCATTAGCTTCATCTTTATTTTTATCTGTCTTTTTCGTCTTCACGTACATTTTTTTTTTCAAATCAACTGCAATTATAATCACTAGACGCAGTTAAACAAGCGAAACTAAAGTAAAGAAAAAAATAACCCCAAACCCATCCATTGTTCATAAGATGGAGTCACATAAGCATCTAACCCTCCGGCAATGTCGAGATTATCATCAAATCGGGCCTCAAGATTTCAACAAATATTTGAAAAGAGAAAATAGAATGTATAAAAAGATAATATTTATAATATTAAATAAACACAAAATTGATCAACAAAAATATTCAACATTAATTTTAAAAAATAAATAAAGTGAAAGTCCGCTCATAGAGGGGGTACCCACCTAGTGCAAAGAAACATTCATTGCATGAGTAGAATGTCATCAACATAGTTAAAAACTATTTAATTGGTAAGTTAAAGAAAAAACTATTTAAAGAGCAAATTAGCATTTTAAAAACTTTCTTTGAACTAATTTTACTTAGAAAATTGTATTTAATTTAAAATACTTGAAACTTTTGTAAAGAACTTTAATTTTTTTTTTTACAATATTTAAAAGAAATATATACATACATATGCCGCAAATCAATAATTTAGTCACGTAATTACTTTTAATGTACAAGAGGCAATATCTCATACATGTTTTGACTGTGTAATTTAGTGAAGAAATGAAAGAGTATATTTTTCCTCTATTATATATTATAAAGAAGAAAAGTTTAAGCTTGATAAAAAACAGTTTTTTTTTATTATTATTATGTGGGATTTTGTTTTTTTTTTTCCAACCTTTACTATCACACCAACTACCTCGCACAAGGTATAGCTCAATAATCCATAAAGCTGTCATCAGATTAAAATGTAAGTAATCAAGTGCATATTTGTGCCCCAAATGTTATAAACTTTTATATTTATATTTATATTTTTTTTTTGTTAAAGGAATACACTTTTATATTTTTCATATGATCGGTCCATTTCAAAGGACCATGTTATTTTTTTATTTTTTATTTTTAAACGCAATCCTTACAAATATATAAGAAAGCATATTTCGGAATCATCTATGTATTCACATTTAGTTGCTGGATAATACATGTTTTTTTCTGGATAATACTTTTGATCGATCAGTACAAAAGTTTACTTTTTAAAAAAGGGTGAACGAAATATAAAACCATAGAA